CTAATCCCTCTCTCTAATCCCTCCTCTTCCCTACCTCTCTCTCCAATCCCATATTCAATTCATCCTGGGATTAATTGACCTTGTCTTGGGTCAAAAATCAAAATAACCAGTAATAATACAGATAGTATAAGTACATATTGTATCAGTAATAAATATGTTCATTATCTCAATGAACGAAGTTTGGTAAGGATATAGTGAAGCCCTCCGTCTGTCCATCCATTTTTCCGTCAGTCAGTCCATCTGTCTGTTCGGAAGATAACTTGAATACTAGATTAGTAGACAGATTTTGTTCATATCTAGTGGAAAGATGTATATTGGTTAATAGTTGTACGCAACAAAAAAAATTTCCAAGATGGCCACCACTTTAAAGTTAAGTTTTTCATTTTAAACCAAAGGATTAAATATTATTGTTCAAAATTTTGGTAGCATATTCACAACATCTCTATATTTCAAATATATTCCGAGTTTTTCACCATGACCCCAGGGGCTGTGCATAGGGGTTGGAAAAACAGTAATTTGCGTTAATTTTGAGATCTTTCTGAAGTATAGCTTTATTATACTCAAATGAAAGGCAATTTAAAGTATACACATATTTAAAATATTCCATAATGAATGAAGGAAATGTTCAGGTTGAGGAATTTTACGAAGATAGTTTCTGCACAGGATTTCTGTGCACATCAAAAGATTGTCACATTTCTTGTTTCTTTTTAACGTTTCTCGCCTTTAACCCAACTTTCACACGAAAAATGACTATTTATCATCAAATTAGAAAGATAAGATATAATAACGCAGATGCGAGTAGGTATTTACCAGTTTCACCACCAGGTGGCTCGTTTGGGTCAGATAGCATAGCAAATTACATTTGTTTTAGTGGTTCAATTTTCATATAACCCTTATGTATCTAATAGTTATGCAAATTGAAATATGTCCAGTAAAAGAAAATGTTATCTGTCCAATACAAGAAAAGATATTTTACTTTTTGTGATTTTGTAACATTGGGTCTATGGTGAATCAACCCGAACGAGAAGTTAAACTACATGTAGATTCAAATGACATCACTTTGACTGGATTTTGAATATTTAATGACGTAAATCAAGATTATGTCTACTCGCATCTAGATCGGTATTCAACAGTCTCCAGTAGAAATATGGAAGATAATTGGAGGGAAAACAATTCCTTCAATTTATTTTAGCGATCTTTACCGTAATCTCTCCAATAACAATACTTATCATTATTGTAAAAATATGCTGTTACTTTGTTTTGATGTTGCAAAAAATCACCATGCATGAAATTCCCTGGGATTTTTTACTTCTTTCTTATATGGGTGCTTATTAGAACGGTCTGAAGGATGTATTTTCAATTTTCTAAATGCCCCAGGCGTTAATTACAGAGAATACGATATGTTATACTGATGGGTCTGGTCATTCATTAGAAATGCCACTGTTGTATCATATTTCCTGGCACCTCAGCACTATATTAGTTAATTGATAGAGTGTAATATAGTATATGGTTGATTGTGATCACTATATGAATCATGAATGATAAGTCTCTTGTGCCACAAGAAGTATAGATGATTTTACACCACAACTTTGTGTCTCTGACTAGACTTATGAGACAATGCAACTTGGGAAATTAAGTCTTAATAAACATTGACTTATCAATTAGACTATTAGGGGCCTGGTCATCTATTAATTATTTTGATGTTATGATTTCATTTCCAGAGGATCAAAAGATGATCTCAGCTTATTTTAAACTAAATAAATGTATCTCTAGTGTATTTAACAAATTTGATCCTTCATTAAATTATTATGAGAAAACATTTTTTTGATCTGGTTTCCAAAAATAAAAATACCTGTGTGCGCGCATGCGGGAAAGATCCTGTTTTTACATACATATGTATAGTAAAACCTCTGTATATTGAATATTTTTTGCCGAGAAAAAAAAAATTTGCCGTGAAAAAAATGTTCAGTGTTGGTAGGTGTTCACTTCAGAGAGGGTAATTCAGAAATCAGTAGAGTATGCGCAGAGGAAAGGTGTCTACTAGAGACGGGTGTTCACTAGAGAGAGGTGTTCACCAAGACAGGTTTTACTGTAATAAAATTATAGAGGTGCTCATCTAATCATCCTTGATTGGACAACATGTCCATGTTACATATTAACTTTCATAGAACAGTGAAAACATTTCATGACTAGGTGATCAAGGACACGAACCATGATGATTGTACCATTCCCAACAAATTGATTGGCCAATATTGCCTCTATAAATCCTGTTTATATGCTCAAGGACATATTATCCATTGATTTTGACTTCCTCTTTTATTTGATATAGTCTACCAAAAAAATTGTATTGTACTAAAAGTCATCATTTGGTATTTATCATGGTGTATCCATAGCTCCTTTCTGCATATCTCAAAGAGGATTTGATAGATCAGAGTGAGTGTTTATTGTTAAGTTCTTATTTTTAAGTGGGTCTTGATTACTCCTTGTTGTAAACTGAATAGTTATGGTGCTATTCTACAGTTCTACAGAATTCATCTCATGATATAAGAGTAATATTTCATTGCAAACATTCGGTATAAAACATTTTTTGATGGAAAGACACTTAAAAATGTTAACTGAATTAGAGTTGCCATAATGTTGTAAAACTGTTGTTAAATTACATACACTGAGATCTTATTCTCCCGCTGATTTTCATTACAGCTTTGACATGCTATCATTTTCTTGATGCAGCTTTCCTTTGAGCTGTTTTGTAGAAGAGAGCTACAGATAGTATTGCTTGATATTCCCAAGATGCTATGGTGATCATTCAAACTAGGAGGGTTAATAGAGTAAGGTGGGATTTCTACACATCTCTTTCATCATGTAATTGAAGGAGAGAGAGAACCAAGGTTGTAAACGAGATTATTTTGGCAGATATTACATTCAAATTGAATTTTATACAAACTGAGCAGAAAATAAGAACTGATACAGAATGCTTCATTTTCAGGCAGAAGCATCATTTGTTTATGTCATTCGATGTAAAGTCAATTATTTGATACAAGGTTGAAATGATCACAGCTCTTATGGCTCTAATTAGGACTAATGATGGGGGCAGTAATTGTATGTCCTTTCACCATTGAGTTTCACTGTTCAGCAGTTGGCATTGGTGGTTGGTGTTCGGCATCTGGTGGTTGGTGTTCAGCATCTGTAACAAATAGCAGGTGGTGACATTTTGCATGTCATCAATGCCTTGTTTTATCTCAGTTTCTATTTTTCAATCAAGAAGGTTGATATTCTTATTCCTTAATAGACATCATTCTTGTATAAGATTAAATTAACCTTACACCCCCCCCCCCTCTGATAGCCGGTATGGATATCTTGATCAAATATTGGCAGGTTGTGCCTTATTAAGTTAGAAAATTCTTCCATTATTCCTACATTCACTTGAGTACAGTTCAAAGCAACTTTGATTTATTTTTGATATGTTTATAGATTTTTGTAAGCATATCTATAAGGTGTTTATGATAATATGGTTTGTATGCATAATTTACTCTCAGAGAATATCAATATATGGATGTTTTACTCTTAGAATATAAAATTGAATTTTTTACTTGGCTTTTATACATAATAATTGCATTTCTTACAATTCTTAACTTTTCTATAACTATGTTATTACACAATTGCTTTTATTTTCTAGATTATACAATAACCTAAGATTTTAGAATAGTAGAGTCAGAGAGCACTTCCTCAAAAATAATTCTAATTTCAGAAACTTTAACTCGTACCTTCATCAAAACCTAATCAATTTCCACTCAATATTTCAGGAAAACGCATAGATTTTAACATTTCATGGACAAGTTTTTAATGCATGTAGATTGTTACAGATTGAGTTTATTTGAGAGGGTTTACAAAGCACATATTGGTTGATTAATTGTAAACATTGTTTGACATAATTTTCATCTCCCTGTGACAGATTGAACCTTTATGTCAACCCGACCTACCCTATTTTCTGAGAAATAAATAAATGTAATTTTGCATGTTGAATCTCCTGGTTGATTTAACTTTATATCTCAGCTTAAAAGAACATACAAAGTAACTATGGATCAATACGTTGATACTTGATAGGCTTGTATACAAAATATATTAATGGATATTGACTGCATTGGGGCTGTTACAAGATGATAAACTGATGATAGAGGTCAAATAAGTTAGTTTATTAAAAAGTATTGTTCTTGTTAAAAAAAGGAGAACACTGGTTGAGTACATTCAAGATTCATGATATATTATATTTCAAGACAAACTGTAGTCTCACTTACGAATCAATACAACAGAACAAACAATATTTGGAGTATACATTGGTAAGAGTTAGCATTACTGAAACTAAATATTACCCTTAACTGATTTACTTGTTTTCTGCTTGACTTGGTAGAACGAGTTAGAAGTAGAACTCAATTTGTCTTTTTTTTCTCATCCATGGCAATTCCTGTTCATGCTTGTAATATGTAAATAGCATGGCTCTGTCGCTCTTTTTGATTGGGTGACTGTCAAAGTGTTTGATAATGGATCCTCCTCAGAGGGAAATGCACTGACCAATGACCAATGAGCTCACTGCTTACATTGTGTTAATGTGTTTACATTAGCATGGCTCTGTAAGGCTCTATGATTGGGTGACTGCCAAATTGTTTGATAATGGATCCTCCTCAGAGTGAAGTGCACCGACCAGTGACCAATGAGCTCACTGCTTACATTGTGTTAATGTGTTTACATTAGCATGGCTCTGTAAGGCTCTTTGATTGGGTGACTGCCAAAGTGTTTGATAATGGATCCTCCTCAGAGGGAAATGCACCGACCAATGACCAATGAGCTCACTGCTTAAATTGTGTTAATGTGTTTACATTAGCATGGCTCTGTAAGGCTCTTTAATTGGGTGACTGTCAAAGTGTTTGATAATGGATCCTTCTCAGAGGGTAGTGCACCGACCAATGAGCTCACTGCTTACATTGTGTTAATGTGTTTTTCAGAATATGCCTATGGTGGCCATCCATTCCCATTCAGTGGAGTGTTTGAGATTGAGCCTGGTGATGCAGAGGATCTTGGGGAACAGTTTAAATTCAAGTAAGTCCTTAACGCAATATCCCATTTAATTCTGAAGGAGATATATTGAAACTAGAAAATATTTACCCTTCGAAAGGAAAGCATCACAAGGAAATACTATGTCATATTTTTTGTCATGTGACCTGTGTTTATCCAATCAAAGAATGAGAAATATGACACAGATAATTATTGATAATTTCTCTTTAACCAGAGGAAAACTTGAATATTGTATTTTTCATGTTTTTAGGCAATCTATTGAAGTCGGCAAGACAGATTTTACAGTGGAAGATGTAAAGAAAATAGTTGACCAGTTTGGGAAGGACTTCAGGGGAAATCAGTACCATCTACTGAACAGGAATTGTAACCATTTCACCTCTGGTCTCATTCAGGTATAGAGATATTTGGGCATTAAGCTTTGCTTTAAAGAATCAGTTTGGCAATAGGTTCCCTTTCACGAATCGGCATAGATTTCTTTAAGGAATCAATTTGGCATAGTTTGCCTTTAAAGAATACATTTGGCTTATAGTTTCCCTTTAAAGAATCAGTTTGGAAATAGCTTCCCTTTAATGAATTGGCATAGCTTCCCTTTAAGGAATCAGTTTGGCATAGTTTCCCTTTAAAGAATACATTTGGCATAGCTTCCCTTTAAAGAATCAGTTTGGCAATAGCTTCCCTTTATCGAATCGGCATAGATTTCTTTAAGGAGACAGTTTGGCATAGTTTCCCTTTAAAGAATCTGCATAGATTTCTTTAAGGAATCAGTTTGGCATAGTTTCCCTTTAAAGGATCAGTTTGGCATAGCTTCCCTTTAAAGGATCAGATGGATTTCATGGAAGTATTTGTAAGAAATTTAACCCCATGTCAAACATAAAATATCCTGAGATCTTTTTACCCAACAATGGGCATGTACAGAATTAGAATTATTCTCAACTTGCTATAATTTCTTATTTTATACAAATTCTGACTAAGAAACATCAAAAACAATGAAATATTAAAATACAAATTACATGTGTCCACATTTGCAATTTTAAACTTGTTACAGTTGTAAGAGAGGTCACTTGATAAAAAGATTTAAATTAATTAATTGGGAGTTACCAAATATTTTCTATGCATGATGTTGTAGAACTAAATTATATAGCTATTGCATTTCCTTTACTTAAAAGTCATTTAAATGGAATTACATTACCGAACAGATCCGCTAAACTGCATTACCTTTACTTACAAGTCAGCTAAATGGAATTACATTTACTAACAGATCAGCTAAACTGCTTTACCTTTACTTACAAGTCAGCTAAATGGAACTACATTAACGAAAAGATCCGCTAAACTTAACTGCTTTACCTTTACTTACAAGTCAGCTAAATGGAATTACATTAACGAACAGATCCGCTAAACTGCATAACCTTTACTTACAAGTCAGCTAAATGGAATTACATTAATGAACAGATCCGCTAAACTGCATTACCTTTACTTACAAGTCAGCTAAATGGAATAAAATTAACGAACAGATCCGTTTAACTGCATTACCTTTACTTACAGGTTAGTTAAATGGAATTGCTTTTGTTTCAAATCAGCTATACTGAACTATTTTACTTCCAGATCCTGGTTGGGAAGGAGCTGCCTAGCTGGGTGAACAGATTGGCTTATGTCAGTTCATGTATACCATTTATAGAAAAAGCAATACCTAAAGAGTGGCTTACCCCAGTTGCTTTACAACAAACTCTGCCTCCTGGCTATGAGTATAGATCTATAGACTTAGACAGACCTAAGACATCCCCTGGGGGGAGTGCTCACAGGACTGTGGATTTAACCCAGGAAAGGTCACGTAGCAGTGTGGGTTCCAGGCTAGCAGGGGCTTCAGGGTCAGAGTCACCCCCCACTGAGGGGGGTAGGAGAAGGTCTGATTCAAAGGAACGGGATTGTTTCTCTTTTGCAGAGACTTTTGGATTTAAGAAACAAAATACTAAATGATACATGCCTTCCCATTAGTCTGTTATGTAGGAAAGTTCCAAGTCCGACCACTGCACATAAATGAATACGGATTGTAATTAAGGTCTAAAAAACTGTGTTTTCTTTCTCATATTTTCTTAGTTATATACCTAGTAATGACAATGTAGGCAATAACCTTCAACTTTTTCCCTTGCCAGCTGTTGACATTGAATTATAGTGACATAACATGAAATCACTCAGGATGAAACTGTTATCATTAAAAATGTATTAAATGCATTCAAAATTTCATTGTAAAAGTTTGTATCAGTGCAGTCTTACATTAAAAAACAAATTGATATTTTTTACACATGTATATGCATTAATATTTGTGGCCAATGAGAATGCGCTCTTGTTGACATCAAGTTGACCAGACTAGGCTAGCTGGTTATTTTTCACAAGGAGTTGGAGAAGGAGATTTGTTAAACATAATTGATGAATAATAGGGTGAAATGTGCTTTGGGAGCAATTTTTCAGTATAACTGGTCATTGCATCTACAAAGTAAGTTAAATAATGCATTTATATAAGCAGGCTATTTATCTAAGTGTGACCACGTTCAAACCACAATTAGTCATTCTTGAAAAGCACATGACCGATAATACCTCGATAAAACCCCGGAGGTTCAAATCCAATGCACTCTGCACATTTATCTGATTTTATCTAATAAACCCTGATACTACAGAGGTCTAACTGGATCTTTCAATTAAAAATAAATATTTTAGATAATTTATATGAATATATTAACTGTAGAGTAAAACTTACATGTACATGTACAAGTTTTATCTCATTTACAAATTAGGAGTAGTTGCCGATAGGCTATCACAACTACATTATATTACATACGAGTATCTCATTAACAATTTGAATACTGTATTATATTAACATATATTTGTAAGCATTTTTATTAGTTGATAAAATACACATAACAGCTGTAATACTAATCAATGGTAATCTTTGATATAAGATGCTAATGTTACAAATGTATTCTTACAAATAAAAATAGCTTGTATTTAGTCATGTATAATGCCTGGGTTGAATCTCTAGTAGCTGATGTAATTATATTATCTTGGGTTTTAGAAACCCCATTTGGCTAACTGCTACGTATTTATATTATTTGAATGTTTATGGTTTAAAAAGCCTCTTGCAATGCTCTTTTGGAGCAAGTTTGTGGATTTAATTTTCCCAGGGTAGTTGTTATCTTACCTTAGGGGTGGTGTCAAAACAGCAGTGTCTTCTTTGTAGTTGAGTCAATCATTTTAAGTCACTTTAAGTGACACTTTGTGACAGATGTCGGGTCTAGGCTCTTTTGATTACATGTAAAAAATATGCTCCCACAAACTAAAAATTTTGCAATATTAGTAATCACGTAAAAAATAATATCTATGCAACTTACATGGATGAAAATCCAATATTATAATTTTCAAAGAATGAATATTGAATGCAAATATACCAGTTAAACGCTGTCATCTATCATTCTATAGGCTTGTATACATCAATGTTTTGACATTACTTTTAACATTAAATCAGATATGTCTTATTGGTAAACATACATGTAGTATGCTAGTTCTGTACATTGATTTTTATAAGTTGCACTTCCTCCAAAGGTTAAGTTGACATTGATATCTGTATATTGTGGCATTTTATTCACTTTTATTCTGCGATGTCAAAAATAAATGTTAAAGGCCCCATATAAAGTTTAAACAACTGTGTGCAGGGCCTTTAATTATTATATGCATGTTTTTGCAAGGATAATTGGAATAAGGCTCAAACTTTATATGTATTTAGATACCTGTGATCACTTGTATATTTATATTGACATTGAATGGTTATTACAGTATCATTTGTTTTAGTTGATACTTAGTCTACTTTTGGAATTGTCTTGAGGTATGCAATGTAGAATGTATAAATTGACTAATTTATTTTAACCCTTTCCTGTAGATTTGTAAACTATGTGATGTCTTAAAAAGAAAGCCAAAAATTGTAGGATAACCTTAAGTCCTTAAAGGCCTCATGTAAAGTTTGAAAATATAGTTTAATCATTTATTTTAATCATTTTCCTTGACTTCATATGGTTCCTTTAACTCGTGTCCTTGAATCATTTTCTATTGATACTGTATGTATTGTATGTCTTATTAATTGTTTTGTAGGCTATGTATTTCATGTACCTGTATTTTATATCACTGCTATACTGTTTTCCAACTTTTTCATTTGGCTTATTCTTTGAAATCTCACAAAATTATACATTATAGTGAACCATCCGTAAATAACCCGAACAATTTCGTACATTTGTTGATATTACGTTTATTACATATTTGTTGATTCAAGATTGTTTAACAAACATTTTGCATTTACATGATGTAAAACCACATATTTTATACAATGATACATCAAAATGTTATTTGTAGTTTAATAAATGGTATATTCATGTATACATAAATTGATTCATATACTGGTAATAATGACAATGTCTATGTAAAGAATGTAAAAATGAAATGTAAAATAAATGAAATTGTTATTTATAAACAATGTTTTAACATTTTACAATACATTACAATATAATGGAAAGCTAAAATGGTTTGGATTAGGAGGACACTTTTACCATTTTTTCAAGTATATTAGACAGGTTAATTTTTCAAATATCGCTGTTCAAATTGCAAGGTGTTCACATTTTAAGGTTTCTGTAACATGGGAGTCAATGGTAGGAAAAAAGGGACCAATAATGATTATCCAAAATCAGACAAGTAACTCCCTTACAAATAAAATTGCTGTTTAGAGGTATCATTTTTCACTTTGATCAGTATTTTTTGCATAAAGTGGAAAATGAAAATCTTGGACAGCTGGTCAGAAAATCCTGCGTTACAGAAAATTAACATCAATAAAGGCCTGAGCATACAATGGGTTTGTACTACTTCCCATATCCTCAGTTAAGATGGATAGAGTATAATTCTACCCTATACATGTATACATTGCCACTCATCATTTCATGTCAATAAAACGGAGATAAATATTTTAATTGAGTTGCCCTATAAAATCCTTCCAACTTCCTATTGGTTGTTGGTTCTTATTCTTTCAGTCATCTCCAAGCATGATAATGCTTACATGACTAGCTCACTATATTTTGTCAATCTACAAATCTAACCTCATCCATCTCTTATTAGACAAATACAAAAAGAGTAACAAAGATATATAAGGCCTAACATGCTGAATGTCACTACCTGCCATTTATTCAAGACACCGAATGCCAGACGCCAACCGCAGACACAAAAAATTGGAGACCATAACAATATCTCACCACTTCTTGTGGTGACTTAAAAATTCAACATTATAAATGCTACCATAAATATTATTCATGCCAGTACCTTAACAAAATTTCAATATAAAGTAAAAGTATATCATAATTTATACTGGTTACTAAAGTACAACAGGAACATTCTTAAAGTGGCTCAACCTCTGAATAACTCCTGAAACAATTTGCAGCACCCTGTAACTTCTACTATTGACTGGCTATGATAAAAACCTATTCTGAAAATGTATAAGCTTGAAAAAATTGCTTACCTCGTAAGCAACATGAGTTTCAAATTCCGAAACCTATGAGATTGTTCTGTCTCAGGATTCTTAAAATGTGCTTACTTTCTGGTACTAGCAATTTTTTCAAGCCTAGATATGTTTCATAGCCAACCATAAGTGTTAGCTAAATGTACATGTACATTTGATTCACTACATATTTTTGGTTGAATGTTGAGGATCAGATTACTAAGGGGTTGAGCAACTTTAAGTATGGAAATACCAGATTTTACTATTCATACTAATTTCAGATCTTCTCTTCATGTCTCTTATTTACAATTCGTATCCAACGTTTAAATGAATTCCATCATTTATTGAATTAATAACAGAATATAGTACATATATCTTTATATCATACATAGTTCATTGAGCAAACTAGATGAAAGATGCCAATCTTAAAAAAACAAGTATTACACTTCAATTGTAAGATCAGATGGAGGCTTTCCATATTTTTTTAATTTTTCTTCATTCCTTAAATCTGCCTTTTCTGTTCGTGTATGCCACACCAAGACCTGGAATAGAATCAAATATAAAGTTTACAAAAGTTTCTTTGAACATGTGTTAGATGTAGCATATTTCCGTTATTCTTCTTTCTATTTAGTCTTTCTAAAATGATTCATATTTACACAAACTGACAAACTGTACATGTTTGTAAACAATGAAAAAATGCTAGTTTTAAATCGTCAGTTCAGTTGTCAGAAATTTTTTTACAGGTCCTATTTTACAAAGTACCAAAACATATTTATAAATAATGAAATATGTTTCAACAAAATTATTTCAAGAAAACTGTATACTGTCTTACCTTTCTACAATTATCAGCCAATGGTTCCAATTCTTCCTTTGTGACAAACCCCCGAAGAAGAGTAGTTTCTTGATAACCCCTCTTTACTTCATACTCAAACTGCACAAGTGGCTTGTCAAATAGCAACTCTATGTTGATTGCAAATCCTGCCATGTCTAGAGCAAAGTCACGTTCAGGCATCCAGTATGTATGCCAGCCTGTAACCTGAAATAATTTACATACATTTTATTTATATTGCAACATTTCAATATAATACACAGGGTGTAGCCAGCAAATGTCAAGGGGTGCGATTTTTTGGGTTTGCATCACTGCGAGAGAACCCAAAAAGGGGTTCTGATCATAAGTTGGTAAAATTGAACATATAAAGGTCAAGTACTTGATAGATGGGTTTACTTAAGAAATAATTATATTCAAACTTACCTTCCCATTGACAACAATAGGACTTTCATATCTTAACTTTCCAACAAGTCCTACAGGCCAAACAGATACTTTCTTAGTTCCACGCATCTGGAAATAAAAATTTAATGGATCTCTTTTTGAATAATTCTTTGGAGAAAACTGAAGTTTGATTTATCATATTGATTAATAGAAAAATTTAGGATTTCATAATATAAACATTGTAACTTAAAAGTCGATTGACCCTATGGACAATTTTACTACCATTGGAAACAACATGAGCCATAGGAAAGAATACTAATTTGAACTGAATTTACATCCATCGCCAGGAAAATGCCAGTTTACACGGTCACTTAGGTTTCCTTAACAACAATAGGTACATATATCTAATGAAATGTGTGTGTATTCTTTGAATGACTAATTGTAAAGAATTTGATTATTTACCATTGGTGATTCACTGAAGTTTATAATGTCATTACAATGGTTCACTTTGAATAAAAAATAGGACCCACGGTCCTGTGCTCACACAGTTTGGAACCTTCAGAGGAATGTATATTCTGACTTTCAAACAAAAACATTAATTTGGATTTGAAGTCTAGAACTTTGAGAAACTTAGACAGCACAGTTGTGTGACCTAGTTTGATGACCTTTGACCTTGAAAATTTAACTTATTTAGAGCTGAGTAAGGTCTTTTGTGATTAAGCTGACCAAAATTTACATCCAAAAATCAATTTGAAAAATCAACATTTTTTGACCTTTCAAAAAATTGGTCAAATTGAAGCAAGTTGAAAAATAACTTATTTTTTCTGTTTTTTTTACGTCAAATATCTCAAAAACGGTAAAAATTTGATGCTGACATATATTGAGCAATATGTAGGAATGCTTAAATCTAGTAATGATGTAATTCATTGCAAGAAATGATCAAGCATAAGGCAAACTTTGAGAAACTTGTCAATCACAAAACCTGCCATTGACTTTATACATGAGAAAGTTTCCTGAATTTGACTTTTTGATGTCAAAATCAGCAATTTCTCGGAAACCGGGAAATGGCGATAATAGGTCAAATAGGCATTATGGATATGCATAAAATGACTGCGGATATGACTCAATCCGAATAGCAGTTTTAATTTGTGCGGCCAATGTTGACAGACGGACCAACGGACGGACAGACGGACGGACCAACGGACGGATGGACGCCTGGTCGATCCCATAGGCTCACTGTGTGAGCCAAAAAACACAAATGAAATGCAAATTTTTGTTAAAGTAATTCATTGAGCAATTACAATTCTATTGAAATCCGACCTATTATCATGAAAATTGCTGGTCCAACACTATCTTTGATTTTTAAATAAATTAATATGATCAGTTGCATATGTGGCGCCTGTATTTTGCTCTGGTGTATCAGTGACTGCAGCTACTAAATTGATATTGCCACAAACAGATTTCAGGGACATAGAATTTGCAATTATTCTGTACGACCATTTCAGTATTTTAAAAACATAACATTAATTTGACCACAAAAAGAAATATGGTCATGATAAGGATTGTACTAATATAATAATTGATAATTGATAAGTTGCTTGATCTAAAACAGATGCTGCTGCCATGGAAACAGGTGTTGAACAATAGATAAATCCTAAATAACAATAAAACCTGCATGATGTTAATATCTATGTTGGTGAACACATTTAAATGCTAAGATGTAGAGAAATTAATATTATTTGATTAATAATGATGATTTAATACTGTATTGAACTGGAATATTTCATTATGACATCACAATCACGAATCCATTTGAAAATATTTACTTTTAGCTTCACATGGTTTTATTGAAAAAGATTGATTAAATTGTGTGAAGTATACCCTTATTGGGGTACACCCTTCGTGTTAATCTAATAAAAGTTAATAACAAAGCACATGACCGACTTAATACACAAAACACATCGTAACAATACTTCAATAATTTGATGTACTACTTAGACAACTCTGTAAATCAGAGGATAATGTGCCTTTGCCTTCACAATTTATATCTGTAGGGAGGGTACTTAATCTTTAATCTATGGTAACTGTTACACAGCGGCGTTAAATTGCTTTCTTGTGAATCATTTAGACAAAAATAAGTTGATAGAAAATCACAGAAATAGTAGATATTCGAAACAATAGAATCAGACCTTCATTTTATTGATCCCAAAAATTGTGCGCATGTTCTCCCTAGAACTTTTTCTGCAGCTACTGAAAATCCATTTTCACCCACTTGAAAATGCGAAAAATCATGGAAAATGGGCATATTTTGAGCAATTTTGGTCTGCATTGAGAAAATGAGAATTTTGTACCCACTTGAGAAAAAATTCTGTGGAGAACACTGTATGCCTGAAATATCACTGTAATGCTAACATACCTCTTCAAATATTTGCAGATCATAGGTATTATCATCATCAGCAAAGTAGAGAACACCTTTGTTAGCACCTTTCTTTAAATTCTCCCGGATCCACGTTAATCCAAGATTACGCTGGAGTACCCCCCTTGGCTTTAACCAATTAGGATCCTTAGGTGCCAATTTCCAGGCATCAGGTGTCTTCACATTTAAATGGGTAAACTCTAGTCCGGAATGCTCAAGAAGGTTTTCAACTAACTTAGTTTTTCTATCGGAATCTTCTACTACTATCCAGTGAAAGTTCCGTACATGGAGGAATGTTTGAGAGAGTCTAATGAGTTCGGCTTTTTGCACTGGACGGGTATACGTAGGAGTTATTGCATAAATATATGGCAGATCATTTGGATTAGAGTCTTTTTCTAAGATTTCTGAAGCTACTTCTGGATAAAGTCTTCTCAAATTTGTTTCCACTTTTTGGAATCTAGACTGTAATAGTTTGAGCAACTCATTCTTTTCATAGATCATTTTGTCTCTTATCTGAAGTTCATTAACATCTCCGTCATTTGGGAAACGCATGTTCATTTCTTTGAAGGAGTTGGGACACCAAGAAGCTGAAACAGAAATGATTACAATTATTTTTATTGTTGACAAGTTTTAGCATCATATACTTTAATTTATCTAGCTAGATTATATATATCTTTTATTGACTCTTTTAGATGTCATATCATATCAGATACAGTGTATCAACCATAGACAATTCTAGCCAGCGCCAGCCTTTTATCGAGTTAGCAGCACTCTAGTAACCGCCGGTATAGGTCAGCAGTCATAGGTCAAAGACAAATCACAAGAAGTGCTGTACACGTACTGAAGACAAGTAAATGCACCTTTCCAGCATTACGTGTACCTTGGTATTTGAAATTGTAGGTTTTATATTACTCTGATTTATAAGTATGCTGAATAAATACTCCCACAGCATGTTAGAATCACAGTGGGGAATAAGAATGTGTATGTGGGGGTTGGAGGAGGGGGGGGGGGGGGGTGCTAGAGTAATGCCATGGTATCCATCTAGCCCTGACAAGGACTCTGAATTTGTCACTTAGACCCTATCCAGATCATTTTGAAGTAATGTCAAAGGCTCGAAAAATAATATGACACCAAATTTGAAAATATTTAAAGAAATGACCACTAGCCTATATCACTATTTTGCCCTCTCATCAGTGTGTGCAGAGTTGACCTTTTGCGATCAGAATTCAGGTATTTTGATTATGGATACTGTTGTCATATATTTCGTCATATTGGTGTGACGTCATATAAAAATGATATTAGACATGATGGAGAGAGGAAATGGCGGACATGTGGCAGTTTTGAGCTAAAAATATTATTGTTTCTTTTATGAAAACCATGGGTCGGATATTTACCAGGTATGCCGGACTAGATCATGAGTATATCTTTATATGTGTGAAGTTTTTGTGAAATTCATACAAAACATCGTTGCCTTTATGCGCCCCCCATTTTTTCAAATTTGGGGGGCGCTTAACCACTATCTAAATCATGTCAGTAAGATCTTAGACTTGGCATGTGCTTAGAATGAATGTTGATCTAGTCAAATCGAACACTTTTGTGAAAAACAGATCAATATAGGGATTGTGACGTCACTGCAAGATAGAATCCATCCTGAGATCGCAAATCATCAATTGCTTGTATTCCGTTCATTAGTGATCAGAAAGGTCAAAATAACAAGATGCTTCAAATGAGATTTCTGAAAATCAAATTGTCATTTTAAAGAACAACATTCTTGTCTTCATCCTATTCCTAGACTGATCCTACTCGTATTACAAAAGAATCTTGCCGGCATAAATTTTATGAAACGAAAGTGAAAGTTGAAACAAAAATTGAATCTCAAAAATTATTCGAATTCATGCTTACCAAAACTGTATATAACATAGATCAATGACATGAATAATGCCATGAAATAGAAGACTAATAACCTCCTTGGTGTTAGATATCCCATTATGCTGTGTCTAGACGGTGGAATAACGATAGATCAGTGGGAAATTGTCATTTTATTCTGAAATACCATAACTTCCGGACATTTACTTCTCTTTTATCGCCTCCTTTTTAAAGATCTTTTGAAGAGTTCCAATGAAACTCGATCTAAAATCTTTTATTTTGATGAAATCTACCTCTACAAAGAATTCAACTTCAAAGTTGACTAATTCAATTACCAACTCTTTCACACTGATTCGGAACTTGGAATTTGTAAATGCGATTCAGAGGTTTGTTATGACAATTTAAAATTCGCGTTTGTCCACAACAAACAGTACCAAGAAAAAATCAAGGATGGAGTACATTTTTCATGAAAGGGTAAATACATCAGTTATTTGTCATTTTCTGCCTTTATATTTGTCAAAATTGACATCATAGATAATAGTTGTGTGTCACTCCATACAGATGTCAACATGATGAACAGACACGAGGTCGAAAATTGTCAATATATTGGTTTGTAAATTGGTGAGATTTTATCAAACTGAAGTGAAACTGAAAGTGCTTTGACTGTTTGAAAATTGTGTACAGGCTATAGTTTAAAGATGTAAAATTATCGTATTCATGGCATCTGTCACCTTCCTAAATGTATTTTTTCAGCAAGAGGGCTCTCTATGTGCGCAACATTGTTTGAATGCACTTCTTCAGGGCCAGTACTTTACTGCAGTAGATTTAGCTGAAATAGCGCGACAGTTGGATGACTCCGAGCGAAACCAAATGGCAGAAGGTGGTGTCGATACAGAGGAGTATAGGAAATTTTTAGAGGTTCGTACAGTTTATGCTGCTGATTTAAAAAAACACAGTGCAATTAGCTATAATGTGTAAATAACATAAAATTTTGAAAAATATTACCTATATCTTTAGAGCCTAAATGGTATGGAATTTATTTTGTATCAAAATTGGACATTACATGATCTATGGGAAAAATCGAACTATATGATGCGATACTCGAACTATATGATTCGAAACTCGCTTCACACTATGCGAAATACGCATCATTATATGCGAAACTCGCATCATGTATGCCATTTTCAATCCATGTTATACCAACAGTTAATTTTCTTACATAACTTATTTTCATTCACACACGCACTGGTTGTATCAAGTGTCACACAAAGAGTTAGCACTAACTCCAATCACTTTCCAAAAATCCAAAAGCAATGTTGAAATGTCACACGGATTGTGTTATAAGTGGCATAGAATACTGAAAGAATTACACATGGATCAAAGTAAATTTCGAACGAACGTGTCAATTTTACACACGCATTGAGTTCAAACTTGCATAGGATGGTTCCCGCTCGCATAGGCTGTCACAAACAAGTTGCACTTCACACAGGATGCGAGATTTGAAATCACGTGACATTTACATCCTGGTTTCTACAATACAGCGCCCTCCGTTGAAATGTTATAGAATGTAAATTTTAAATTAAAAATATATAATTTAGCTTAGCTAGGGAGACGTACACGTGGCCATTTATTGGGAAACTACAAACTAGATCTTTTTATCTTTTTGCCGCGCTGATGTGTTATTTCGTTCAGTGCAAAAGTAACGCGAGATTTAGAAGAAAATCTCGAACATCTCTAGAAAGCAATTTATGTTACATCAAGATGTGTGATCGGTACATCAAGGTACTGTATGTGATCGGCACATCATGGTTTGTGAAGGGAAAAACATTTGTGCGAGCCGCATAAGCATTTGTTCGACTTGTGTACTCTGTTCGATGTCATTTTTAAACAATGCATACACAAATACGCATGTACAAGTGTGATTTTACAAACATAGAGTGTGCAAACTCGAACAAACCGTGTATGAAATCACACGGATTGTGTATGTATTCTACTAAACGCTATTCTATGTGTTAGAGATATCACATAAATATAATATGTCCAATTTTGATACAGTTTTAACACCATAAAATGGCAGTGGAATTTCACTCAGCCTTGGAAAAGTAGTGTCGTTATCAAATAATCTTACTGAACCAGGAAGTAACATAATTGAATCATTGAATGTTAAAACTGATTAATATGAAAAAGCTCAATACTGTGATGAATTTTATAATTTTGGATAAAATTCATCACAGCATTTTAATAAAACTGGTCTCAGCAGTTTTTGATTGACCTGGTTTACTGTTTTAATAGCATACAAAGCATGCATCCTGAAAATGTGACATTAACTTTCAGGAACCTTCCAGTAACATGGATGACAGTGGCTTCTTTTCAATTCAAGTCATACAGAATGCTCTAAGTGTGTGGGGTTTAGAGCTTGTCCCTTATAAGAGTCAGAATCCTATTGCTCAAGCTGCCCAGGCCTTACCTACGTAAGTATAGATCTTTGCAAGTGTGAACTACATGAATTATTTCTTTCCTAAATATATTTCAGATATCTTTGGGGTGTTTTAGATCATTAAAAATGCCTTTATTTCTCTGGTTATATTCAGAGAGCTTTGTACATCAATGGTTTCCATTTGGAAATGTTCATATATTTCCTTAAACAGCTAATTTTATTGATTTGCTTACTGACAAACATATTCTTGATTTTGGTTGTGATAACCAATCTTATTCGATATTTGAAAGATAAACTGAAATATCAGACTTTTCCATATTTCAGAAGTCAGCATGCCTATATATGTAACTTCAAGGAGCACTGGCTGTCCATTAGGAAGCTTGGGAATCAGTGGTTCAACCTCAACTCACTGCTCACTGGTCCAGAACTTATCTCTGATACCTACCTTGCCATGTTACTTACACAGCTTCAACAAGAAGGTAACTAAACACCGCTCTAATCAAAACACATTTCATTAACTGCAAAGGTCAAATAGGACATTTGACTGAGACTATTTTTTACAGTTTTCAGATCAATGTAAAATATAATACAGCATTCCTTTCAAGAATCAGTATAAAGATAAAGAAGTTTTAAACTGCTGGAGCGGAGTAGTAGTCAGTCATTGTGCTTATTAAGTGAGAAAATGATTCAACTTTTTGGAAATGAATGATAGTATCCCTTTGATAGCACTGAGCCCTTTGGCATGCTATACACTATTGGAAAGACATATTATAGACACAGATATTTCTTCAATTCAGCTTCTTTATATTAACCCAACCCCATTTTATTGCTTCAGGTTACTCCATATTCATAGTAGTGGGAACTTTACAAGAGACAGATGCTGACCAGATATTGAAACTCATGCCTGCTGTTCAGCCAATCAAACCAAAGCTCATAAGTGATCTCAATAAGCCAGACAAATCAGGTGAGGAATTGGTTGATATATGGGGTTAGATTATATTGGGTGTATATAACGGCTGTGTCAAAATGTTTATTTTTTTTTTCTTTGGAAGTAATTTTTTGGAAAAGATCTTCCTCTCCTTCTTCTTAAAAGATTATGACATTGTATGTGTCAGCTTTTTGTCCCTCTCCCCGTATCGAAAATTCACAATGATAGTAAAATTAATACATGGATATGCAATGACAGTATTCACTATATGTTACTTGCCAACCTAAAGTGAAAAATTTTCGGGAGATTTAAAAAAAATTACGATACTTTTACGGGAGTTTTTTTCAAAATCCGGTAGTTTTTTGAAAAAAAGCGGGAGTTTTTACGGGATATTTTTGAAAAAAAATGTAGTTTTTACAGGAAATTAAAAAAAAACGGGAGTTTTTGCGGTAAATTTTGAAAAAATGGGAGTTTTTACGGGAGATTTTGAAAAAAACGGGAGTTTTACGGGAGATTTTGAAAAAACAGGATTTTTTAGGGAGATTTTTAAAAAAGGTATTTTTCGCGGTAAATTTTAAAAAACGTGACTTTTTTTACGGAAGATTTCAGAAAAAACGGGAGTTTTTGCGGTAGGTTCTGAAAAAACGGGAGTTTTTACGGTAGGTTTTGAAAAAACTGGAGTTTTTGCGGTAGATTTTTAAAAAAACGGAAGTTTTTACGGTAGATTTCTGAAAAACGGGAGTTTTTACGGTAGATTCTGAAAAACGCGAGTTTTTACAGTAGATTTCGGAAAAAACTGGAGTTTTTACGGTAGATTTTGAAAAAACTGGAGTGTTTACGGTAGATTTCTGAAAAAACAACAGTTTTTACGGTAGATTTTGAAAGAACGGGAGTTTTTACGGTAGATTTCGGAAAAAAACGGGAGTTCATACGGTAGATTTATGAAAAAACAGGAATTTTTACTTTACTTTTACTTTTACAATCTGCGTGAGGTTCCATTTTTAGGTTCGGTTTTTCGCGCATGAGCATTAAATCCAACGATTTAATTGGTTGAAATTATTATGACGCATGAGCAGTTAATAAATTAATTAGAACTTATAATCTAAGAGAGATGTCACTTACGTTCATTATTTCACAGCAGTCCCTACCCATAATGCGCATTATATTGCGGGAATATTTTGTTTAGCGCCATATAAAAACAAAATGTATTCTCCCGCCAGAAGTATGACAGAAAATGAACTGGACCCTGTTTGTTGACATTTGGTGTGCAAACTAATCCGAACTGATCGCAGAAAAGCAATTTGAATCATGGGAATGAAGTACTTTTTAGTTATTTATGAAAGTATCGCTAGTAAACCATGGGAGCCAATCTTTCTTGGAGTAAAAGAAAGAAGCGTGCCTGCAATAATCAAGGTCACGAATTTGTCAAACTCTTTTCAAATACGGTAGATTTCGACAGCAAAAAACGGAGATTTTACGTGAGTTAAACCAAGAATACGGGAGATTTTACGGGAGTTATACCAGAAAACATGAGATTTTACGAGAGTTATACCAAGAATACGGGAGATTTTACGGGAGTTATACCAGAATACGGGAGATTTTACGGGAGATTTCAGCAAAAATACGGGAGATTTTACGGCCATATTTTTAAAAAAAATTACAGGAGATTTTAGTAGAAATACGGTACGGGAGTTTACGGGAGTTTTTATGGGAGAAAACGGTACGGGAGTTTGGTATTTTTTACGGAAAAACAAAAAATTTACGGGAGATTCCCGTAAAAAAATGGGAGGTTGGCAAGTCTGCATATACCAAATTGGATCAGTTAAAATCAGTTCCATGATCAATTCCCTTGACATTGTCCATTAAGAGATATTTTAAGTATGAATGAAATTTTTCCATGTCACTATACCTGAGTACAAACTACTACAAAGCCTAGAGTAGTGTAGTCTATATTTATTTTTTAATATCGGATATGTCAGGTCGTGATTCTAATGAGTCAATAAAATATTTTTACATGTACATTTAAATATAAAAGTGTAAATGGCATGGGTAATATAGAAAAAGTGTAGAGTGAATTCATTCATAGTTGAATGTGTATTGCGAATGACTTCAGGTTTTAACTAGAATAAATGGATTATACTTTGTACTCCATTTGGATATAGGTGGTGCAAGCAAGGCAACCGTTGACCAGGCAGCACTTCAGAGAGCACTCGATGAAAGTCAACATTTAATGCAATCACAAGATGAAGCTGATCTAGAAGCAGCCATGAGACTAAGCATGGAAGGTGGGTTATCTTGTAACTTAATCTGCTTCTTGTCTATATAGTATGTTAGAAGTTCTTGCTTGCCTCATTAAAAGCAATTAGCATGTAAGCTAGTTTTGGCCTACTTTTGGATAACACACATGTCTTCTTATTAGAACTGTATGAAATACACCTTCTTGATAGTTAGTTTAAATTCATTAAACAGAGCAGCTTGCATTTGCAAGATAGGAAGGTACATGTATGTCTGATTGATAATCTCTTCAATTCTCCAGGCCTTTCTCCTGATGAACCTGGTCCTTCCACGTCTACCACCAAACAGCCAGATCCCGAAGAGCTTAGGAGAAAAAGACTAGCTTATTTAGACAATATAGAAAAACCTTCACTAGATAAAGAAAAACCAGTTTCAGGTAACAGTTATTGAATTTGGTGTATAGGAAACTGCAGTTAGTAAGTGAAATAAGCATATACCTTATTCAGTTGATAATCTGAAACAAAGCCAGTCATTTAATTTCAAATCAGGCAACAGACAGGACTGCCTGTGCAGTTAATTTATAATCTAGAGTTTTCTAATTCGTTAACACAGAGAAATGCTTGAAAGATACTCATATGTTGTTTCGTGTTTTTTCCCATCCTCGCTGTTGACTCTCTTTGACTCTGTCTTAGCCTGGGGTTGGTGAAATAATACAGTGAAGGGGGAGACTTGATGTTAGAATTTATTGTTTCAGAATAGTTTACCTCGAATATGCTCCTGTATTGTATGTTCTATTGTTTTAGAAATGTCTGAAGAAGATCAACTACAAGCTGCCATCAACATGTCAATGTCTTCATCTTGACAGAATGACTGATGCTGCCATCTTTTACAAACCACATCTAGGACCTGCTGATTATTCCAACTGAAGGAGTGATATGTATCTATTCTTAGGCTTGGACGTTTCTCATAAGCTTAAGAGTTAGGTTCCAACCACCTTTTACAAACCACCTCCAGGACTGATTATTCCTATTGGAAAGACTGATGTTATAAATGTATAGGGTTGGAGATTCCTCATAAACTAAGAGTTAGGGTCCTGCCACATGTACAATGTCACCAACAGGACTTGCTGATTGCTATTATTAATAGCATACTCCTGAAGGGAATAAAGGCATGTTAGGGTCACCTTGCCATACCTTCATTTCCATGTGCAATATGCCAGCTGGACATGACACTGTTAAACCTGCACATCGCTCCAAAACGCAATATGTTGACATATATTGTTTTTACATTTTCAAGCTCTAATATAAACTTTATGTAAATAAAAATTGTTTTTCTTTGCGTAATATCAAAGGACAATCATTTAGTTAAAAAAATAAAAAGGCGAATGCGGGATCCGAACCCGGGCCTTCCGCGTGCCAAGCGAGGATTCTACCACAAGACCACCGTATTATTTTGAAAGGTGGGGTTATTAAACGCTACTTATTTTGAATGCTATGATTCGGAAGTGACGTCAAGTTCTTCATTTAGAAACCTTTCCAAAATCATATCGCCGGCTCCGATCGAAGCAAATTCAATGAAAAATCTTTGAAATGACACATTTATCGTAAGTATTTCTACACAAGATTTGCCCCATTTGTTCATCATTCTATAATCTTTCATTAAGCTCAAAATGATAAAGTTCACCCCCGAAACAACCCATGATTGCGTTTCGGAGCGAAGTCCAGCTTTAAACATAAAAGAAGAAAGGAGTAAACAAGAAAATCAGTTTCAGAGAAAATGTCTTAGTTTAAGCATGGACAGAGAGGCACTTTTAGCATGGTTCAGGGTCTATTCAGTCGAAAATACTTGTTTTGTATTGAACACAAAATGCTTGATATAGAGCGTGTAAAATGTTAAAAACAATCTTTTCAAAAAGCATGCCAATGTTTTCCAAATTTTATAAAATGAAATATCTGATGATTATAAGCTAGAGGTTATTGAAGCTTTAAATCAATGTCTATATTCTTAACAATTGAAAAAGGGGACATCCACTTTTTCTTCTTTTTGCCAGATAACCTGAAACTTTGGATAAAAGTCAGAACTGTTGGACTTAACTAAAATACTGCTAAAATAAATTAGGCAATATTATGATTTTTATGTCACCAGTGGTTGTAGCTATGGTGACATACTTCTCTAATCTCTGACTATTTTGTGGATGATGTTCAGCATTCGACTGTTGGTGTTTGGTGGTCAGGATCTGTATCAAATTGCGGTTAGTGACATTTTGCATATTAATTCATCGTTTGAAATTCATTCTTACCTTGTCTCTATCCCTTCTACTTCCTTTAATAGGGGAGACTATTCACTGAACAGTATGCCATGAGAACCAGTTCAGTTATGAAAACATTATTGGAGTTAGATTGTAAATAGCATAGAAGTTCATGTTCAAGACAGTAATAGAGGTGTGGATTCAACATTATGACAATGTTATATTGAATTCAAAATTCCACATTGTGACTTGTACAGAGGAATATGTAATTACTGGACTATTTAATGTTCCCAAAAATGTGATGAATAATGTACAATAAAACCTGTGTAAAATGAACACTTATGGAGCCATAAAGTGTTCACTGAAGGTGGGTGTTCACAACAGAGGGGAATTTATGCAGGAGTCAATGTAAAATGTGTCCTAAAGTGATGTTCACTTAACACAAGTGTTCACTTGAGAGGTGCTCACTGTTACTGTATGTGGTATATATTTTAGTGCTATCATTTTCTTGGACACTAAGTTGATATCAATATCAGCAAAAGGGATACTGCTGACACTAATATAAGTCTTACGATATGATAAAGAAAACAAAATATGATCATTTTTTATATTTCATACATATGATATATGTATTTGTATCTTTATTCCTTGATTTCAGCCATAAAATATAACATTGTTTTTTATATACAATATATACAATATTTACTTGTTGTTTGATTTATTCAGCAGTATCAACATATAAAATAAATTCTTAGTCAAAATATGTGAATAGATGTAATCAGCAGTTACACAGAGGTTATACTTATATGCATCAATGTATTACTATTACATCATGGGTTAAATCGCACGGTGGTAGTTTGCAGTTAGCATGCACTGAGACACAATACCACACGGAATGACCAGCTATACTACAAGAGCAAGTAATTCATTCAGAAGATTAAAACTTACACAACCGTATATAATCAAATTAGCTTTTTAGGTTAACTTTCCTTATTGCAGGTTGTAGAACAGTCAGATTTTATTTAAAATGAAAACAATCCTGGGTTGTGTGTCTTAAGTGCATGCTTACAATGTGGCTGTGATCGGTGGTGGTAAACCCATTTATTTAAATAAATTGAGGAAATGATTCAACTGTGACCTCTTCGGAGATTTGTTTTTTAAACGAGTGATAATACATCAATGAAGACACTAAACCATTTGGCGTGTTTTACTCCTCTCACAAATAAAACAGTTACACTTTAAACTGTTAAAACAAGTAAAATTTTCTTGAAAATAATCCATCAAATGTGAACTGTATTTCATGAGACATGTTAAAATTTTCTTGCATAAAATCATAATTTTTTTACATAAATTAAGGGTGTCTTTAAGTTAATCAAATGAAAAGTCGTTGGATCAGAAATGTATATTTTCCAATGGTTGTAAAATTTAAGAAATTATATTGAGCTTGATATTTACTATAAAATTGTACTGGTTTACAGGGACTTTAAGCTTGCACTGTTTTTCACAACCTAAACATGAACGTAAGTTATTAAATCGATGCATTTGTATGGCCGATTGGTCATACGCACAGGTTGATTTTATATGCAAGCTTAAACTCCCTATTTTCAGGTAAATAAAACTTCAATAACATACAACACATATGCAAGTATATATAACGAGTATCTGCTATAAGATAATACATATCAAAGCTAAAATAAATCTTTGTTCTTATATTTGTTCTACAGACATGAGTTATTTGTCATTGTGTATGTAAACTAAACAATAAAACAATATACATACACTCAAAATACCACATCAAAATGAGGCTTAATAGATTTAACATAACATTCATGCATGTTCATAACTGCCAATGGAAATGGGATATTATTTCATGAAAAATGGGAGAAAAGTAAAATTAAAAACTGGGTATACAAGTGTGACATTCTTTGGTTAAAAAGTGTGACAATGAGTATTTTTCATGAAACTAACGTGATGATTGATCATTATATATGAAGCAAGTTGTGTATTTACCTGGAAAAATTGTTTGCTTTTAAATTAAGAGAAAATCAGCCATTTTAAATAATATTAAGTATGTTTGAAATATGACATGAATGTTTGAGTATTTTAAAATAATGCTGTTACTATATAGTTCTTAATACAATTTATAAAATCAATGGCTCTACTCAAATGCAAATTGCTCAGAAAAAAACGCTTACATATAAAAGAAAAGTAGATACCGTACATGTATTACATTCTACATGTGTACTCCTCAAAAATACCAATATTCAAACTCCTACATTTTTAATTGTAAATCTTCATTTCATACATTTTTCAAGAGATCTTGATATTTCTATCAGCTACTAGAGTATGTTTGGTTCACCTTTGAGCAGGTGGAGGAAAACAATAAAAAAAAATGTTAATTCAAATATATTCTCACAAAGAGAATTTAAATATATCATAAACTGCTATGATTTTCTATTTTGGTTGCTATACATTAATATTATGATTTACACTTATGTAATTAAATAAAATAACTTTTTTAACGTAGAAACTCTGAGAAACGAGAGAGTGAGAAACATTCTAAGAACAATAAAAAATTGATGATTCTAGGAAGAATATATACAACATAGTATTGTACTTCCTAGTCCAACATAAAGTCCATGGACCCCCTATCTACTTAGGGCATAGAGCAACACTATTACATCTACTTCCATTTAAGCTGCACATATTTACATAAACTCAACATGCTAAAGTATTGGAGTTACACAACTTTCAAAATGTAAATGTATAACACAAATATTTTGGCACATATAAAATTGCACAAAATAATACATATATATATAATCTTATCTATATAATCACTGTCTACCAAAATTGAAATCAAAATAATAATGAATAAGGCATTAACATGCAAAATGTCACCACCTGCTATTTGCTACAGATGCCAAACACTAACCGCCAAGCACTTTCAACAAAAAAGTTGGAGACTATAACAATATGTCATCACTTGTGGTAGTGACATAATAAAATCAGACATTTTCTAACTTATAAAGGAAAACACAAATTATAAAAACAATCCAATTGAACCCATAATATTGTTAAAAATATTGAAACAGGCCTTGCTTAAATAGCTGCTAAAATAGGCTTATAATACTGGCAAGTTCTATCAAGCATTTTCTCTAAAGATAGTGCTTTTTCTTTATTTTTGTCTCTTATGGGAATCCAGTTAATATTACAAGCAATGTTTGTGCAATAATGTACACATATATTATTAAGAGTCAAAAGCTGTAATTCTCACCTTCAATAAAAAAAACTAAAATACTTCTAATTCATGATAATGATATGTAACTGTTTAAATGAGCTTACGTTTTACATTCCCTAATTTGCTGCAATATGTAGTACCATTGGTATAAGTGGGACAAAGTCTTAATTGAACCAGAATATAAAGATTTGCTGAATTTCTGAATAAAAGTGTTTTACAGTGGAACATATTTCAAGTGGTCAAACTTGAAAAAATATTAATAGACTAGAACTTGCATCTTTAAGATCTGACATTGCCAAGCAAAGATATCATTAAAAACACACCTCCAATAATGTGGAAGACATTTTGAACATTGTCAGTAGTTCATCATATTTCTCTAAGTTCATTCAAAATAGCAGCCATTTCACTGGTATCAGACATAGGTAGTGAAAACCCATTAAAATAGATGGAAAACATGTTTCACTAATTCCTGGGCTTTCAAGTCTCTAGAAAGCCCATGACTAAGTAAATACATAAAATGGGTATGTTTTTGAATTTTGTGGTCAAATTCACACCTGTCACCTTAAAATGTGAGGGCTTAATAGTTATCAGTTGATGTGACATCAGTAACACCTAAGCTGATGGTGTTGTATTCCCAATGTTAGCAGTATCCGCAAACTCATCTTGGCCAACAAAACCATCACCAGCAGAGCGCAATTTGATGTTTCTGTAGAGACGAATACCTGTAAATGAGGTCTGTGCAGTCCACAGGAGGAATGCTACCCATGATGCAGTCTGAAATATGTACAACATAAATATTATTGTGGATTGTCCACAAATGTCGTTAGCTGTAGAAAATAATTTTGGTATGCACCATAGAAGGGCTGAGCAAGATTGATGACATTGTCAATCAAGACAATATATTATAGCTTCATTGATTTGTCAAAAGGTGGTCAGGTTTATTGCAAATCTCTTTTCCTTATTTGGGTTATTACTGTAATTTCTACCCTCCCTTCAAAATTTTAAAATTTGACTTTGTTTTTCAAAATTGTAAACATTTTACATATGCTACATTTTGTATGCCATTAAATTGTCAAATGTGTCGAGCCATGCCACCTATTGAAAGTACAGTGTTAGTATAGAGTATGATATAATTCTACAATAATCTCACTAAATACAATGTTACGATAAAATCACAAAAATTCTGAAAGAATGAAAAGCCCAAATTTTGTTTTTAATTGCCAAATTGGCATCATTAACCTTGGCAATGAACCCTAGTGTCTTCGGTTCAGCAGTGGGAGTCAAATTGTATCAGAATATTTTAATTTGATCATGAGAAACGAGTACAAGATGGCTCCTTATAGATTACCTGGCCAACTGTCATGAAGTTGAAGAAAGTTCCAGAAAAATAGCTGGTACCAGCAGGTGCATGAGCATTCCAAGTTGGCCCCCAGATATCCATGTTCTGACCACTCGCACATCTACAAATATTAGACAATAAATGCTACATTATACAATTATTCAGGGTGTCAAATCTCGAATTACAATGGAGCTGTATGATTCCCATTTATCACATTGCAATTACCTGTCAGTGAGTTTTAACAGACACAAATGGGTGTACATTATTTTCATTTTAAATCTGATTTACAATTGTCCATAACTGACCAGCTTCTTTCAAAACGATCAAATCAACAAGAAATGTAAATTTGTTTCGGAAAAACATGTTATAAGTAATAATACAGTTACTAAATTCAAAATTAATTTTAGGTTATAATGAGAATTTCTGAAACCCTCTTTACGGCATATCAAATATCATTCAAATCTACTTACCCATCAATAGAAGCCCCAAGGTCACGCCCACTAAGAAAGCCACCACACCACTGAGCGAAGCCAACTCCAACAATACATGATGTGATGAAGATAATAGCAGTGATAACTGAATTACACAACAGGAATGGCATCACCCACATATGGGTCCTACAATTATAATAAAAATATGGTAAATGTACACATTGTACTACATGTATTTGTTTACTATGTATATTGAGCAATATGAATTTAGTTATACCATATGGTAGATAATTAAATTTAGTATACTTGGTGAAAGTTTGAACATCCAACCTTTACTAATAAAGATTTTACAAGTGGAAAGTAAAGTAATTTTTTTAGATTAATGGTTCATTTCGACTAGCTAAAACAGTTTTAAAGCTAAAGAATATAAGAAAACATAGGAAAATGAAATAAGACATGAGAAAGGTAAGCGATTTGTGTCAAAATAAGATAAGAAAGGTTGATTTTTTAGCAAATTAATTTTTTTAAAAACATCAATGTTTTGTTTCAGACAACGATGCATCGCGAGAATCAGCTTTGGCGATGTATATTGCGATGTATCGATTAATCGCGACAACACTAATTGGTACCATGTGACTACTAACAAGGGTGATTCAAAACAGTACATGTACTTACGCTATGCTTTTATCCTTGGTAATACTCATGTATGTTGCATATGAGTAGTAAATTCCCATGCCACATGCGAAGACAATGCTTACAAACACGTGAAGATAGACAATAAAGTGACATGTAGCAGCAGGTCCAAAATTGTAGTCAAAGTATGAAGAATTTTTCCATTGAAATGTCCCATAAAGAACGCAGTTTCCACCAAAATTAGTCTGAAATAAAATGTCAAATGTTTCAATAGTCTAATTTTTTGGTGAAGTCCTAGAGTCTACATACATTCATGGGCGTAGCGCTATTTTTCTAAGTAGTACGCCACCACCACGGGAACAAGAGTTGAGTGAATCAAAAAAAGCATTCAGGGGGGTCTGGGGTTCTCCCCCAGTAAAATTTTGAAATTTTTTTGTATTTGGAGCGAATTTGCAACCATCTGGTACGCCTGTGCGTACCCAGCGTACCGGGCACTACGCCCATGACATTTCATTTTGAAATTTATTCATCATCATGTATCAAATCATTATAGCCATCGTATATGTTTATATATTTCATTATATTCCAAATGTAGCTTGAACCTACATGTAATTAGGTAGTCTAGACTAATAAAACACAAAAAAATATTTCAAAAATAAATTTTTAAAAATAAACAAAAGTTTCAAATGCTGTTCATCGATTAATCTGGACATAACAGCTCCATAAATCTCCGGTAATTAATAGTACACATATTCACCTGTGTAACACCAATAGGAACACTGGTAATAAGACCAGTGAGAACGATTCCAAACCATATCAAAGTCTGTATAAACAGCTGAATGTCCACTGGAAACGCCTCCATTCTGATGGAATGAACAGAAGTTTCTACTCGTTGGGAAATATTTCCGAAATCTAGGTCAACTGATAAAACCGTGGATTATGGACACTTTAAGTCAACTGGAACTCAAAATATTAGAGCACTGTTTTGGAAATAATGTTTAGATAGCCGCTGGGCCATATTCAAACAAATATCTAATTGTTCATTTGCTAAAATTATTTTTCAAATTTGTATTAGCGTACAGCAAAGAATACTTGACTAAATAAACATTTCGTTCAGTGCACATGGCCATGGGGACTAAAGCAAAAGTATGAATTCTTTATATTATTTCCTTTATACAGAGTTTTGATATGCTAATATATGATGCATATGTTATGTTATGGTCTTTTCAATTATGAGACAATATAAAAAACATATTGTCCCTCATTTGATTGAATAGAAATGTTACTGAGTTGAAAATGAAAATTGATAATCTTTCCTATCACCAGTAAAAATCACATGCTAAACTATCTATTGCAAGACTTATGCCTGCACAACTATCACCATGTTTTTAAGTTTTGCAAGGATCCTGCCATGACAGTGGTATTGTTATCGTGAAGCCTGGTATAACCGTGACAATGCTATATTATATTGCAAGGCCTGTCATGACCGTGGTTAGGTTCAGCTGGAAAGCTGAATTATTGGCCCCCACGTGATCTCTCACTGGTCCCCACATGGCCCGTTTTGGTCCATTAGATCATGACGTCATAATGCCAAAATGTTTTGTTATTTGTTTACACAACAATCCTATGGTTGCCGTGACATTGTGATTACTAAGGAACCAATAAACCAAAGCTATATTTTGTATATGATGTTACTAATCACGTGGGGGCCAATTTGATTGATCAGTTAGTTTTATTTCATTATCTATGACCGTTAGCAGTTATCTATCATTTATTTTATAATGGCTATCGCAAGAACTCTACGTTGGGCTTACGATGGAGAAAACCGCATTTTTGTAGCTGCAAGTTGAGAAAAGCTATTTCAGTTGTCCTTTAAGATTACCACGGTCATGAGGAATGTACTAAAAACCCTTCGACCCTTCGACCCTACGACCTACGACTTACAGGGTGTCAAGAATTTTGGGAATATATTTTTATAAAAACCCTGTGACATCTACATCTACATCTATCATTATACTAATTAAAGCTCTTTATAGAGCAACACAATTAGTTTTGGAAGTCATCCAAGCTAAAAGTCTAAAATGGCAGTATGTACAATTAAAATACTGTCTAAAAACAGGTCTCGTGTCATGAGCTAACCCTGCATACTAGATACCAGGGCATCACGGAAGGCAGTACTGTCTTCTATCATCCTGGTTGTGGAAGGGAGGTTGTTCCAATCTGTTATTGTTCTGGGAAAGAAGCTATTCTTGTAGGTATCAGTTCTGGCAAAGGGAGGGATGAATTGTTGGGCTCTTCTGCCAGTTCTGTTAGATTTCTCGATGTAGGGGGGAATGGGTATTGCTATTTCATTATGAAGGGCTTTATGGAATAGGGTGAGTCTCTTGGTTTGTCTTCGGTTTTCAAGTGGTTTCCATTCCAGATCTTTGTAAATGTTGGTGATGGTTCCTGGCTCCCTAGAGTACTGTTTGGTTACAAACCTTGCTGCCTGACGCTGAACCATCTCTACCCGTGCTTTGTCCTTCTTCTGGTAAGGGTCCCAAACTGAAGAAGAGTATTCTAAGTGGGGCCTGACCAGAGAATTGTAAGCTGTGGCTTTGATGTTGCGTGGGCAGCTGTGGAGGTTTCGCCTCAGGAAGCCAAGGGAACGGTTGGCTTTATTCACTATGTTGTTGATGTGAGTGGTCCACTTCATGTTGGATTCTAGTTCCACACCAAGGTAGGGGTTATGGGGTACATCCTGTAGTACTTGGCCTTTCATGATGTATGCGGCAGTTCTTCAATTTCTCAGTCCATATGAAGTTGCTGGAAATATTACTATGTTTATAGAACTTCAGAATCGGTCCCTGGGGAGTGTAAGATATTTGTTGTATTCAAGCACATAATTTTGAATGTGAACGTTTTGTACCTCCTCAGTCACAGTCAGAGAGAATGTTCTGGCGAAAGGAGATTCTGGGATTCCAAATTCTTGTTATTGATATCATTCCCGTTCGAAGAACGTATTAGATGTCCGTGCATCTTGCCAAATTTCACCTCAAATTTTTGCTTCCTGGTCAACTCAACCCCAAGTCAACTCAACCCAAGTCAACTCAACCCTTAGTCAAGTCGACCCCAAGTCAAGTCGACCCTTAGTCAAGTCGACCCCAAGTCATCTCGACCCTTAGTCAACTCGACCCCAAGTCATATCAACCCTTGGTCAACTCAACCCTTAGTCAAGTCGACCCAAATGATTTTACTTGTTTTAAGTAGATTAAAATACAATATAATCCCATTGTTTGTGCAGTTTGATTTCAAATCAAACTTCAAAGAAAAGAACATTTCTGCCACCTATAGATCAAAACGAAGATTTGAAATGGATCATAAAATCCCAATCTGATTGTTTATGACACCTGACATGGGTACGATAATGGAAATTGTAAAATCATAAATCCCATTGTTTGTTCAGTCTTGTTTTAAAATCTAGATTAAAAAAAATAAACATTTCTATCGCCTATAGATCAGAAGGAAGATTTGAACTATATCATATTGTTTATTGTTTATTATTATTATCAAAATATAAAATCATTCAATACAAAGTAATGGATGGATGTTGGCACAATGCACATGTTGCATAAGTTACCTGTTGTCAAAAATACTGTTGCAACAATTTCGGTATAACAGAAAAGTATATAGATAATTTTTTTATTTCAGAGAGATAAAACAAGCTCAAATATGAAGGGTTGAAATATATGTATAGCATCGTGAATAGCCCTATTAAGATTAATCAAATATTATTTTGGTAAATAAATGTCATATTTATAAAAATTATAAATGCGTTAAGCACAAACTTCAATAGTTGATAATTTTATTTTGGAAAATTAGCATTTTAGTCCCTCATTCTTTCAAAATTCATTGATATCATACCATGAAGATAGTATATCTATTTGTTTTTTATGGTGGGGTCGAGTTGACTAAGGGTTGAGATGACCAAGGGTTGAGATGACTTGGGGTCGAGTTGACTAAGGGTCGAGATGACTTGGGGTCGACTTGACTTAGGGTCGACTTGACTTGGGGTCGACTTGACTAAGGGTTGAGTTGACTCAGGTTGAGTTGACTTGGGGTTGAGTTGACCAGTTACCAAATTTTTCGCGCTCGATACGCTCGCGTTTAAAATATCCATCAACGAGGGGGGGAGGGGTAGGTACGAAAAATTTCGAACGGAATGCGTGACATATACGTAATTCGCGTGAAAAGTCCGAACGAAATGCGTACGTTTTTTTTCCGGCGTTCGTATTTTTGCTGTGTAGACGATCTTTTTTAGAAATTTTTCTACAGAAATATTTTTGCTTGACAATTACCAGGTAAAATGCGTATTTGCGTGACATTTTCTGTCACGCAAAAATAACTGGCGTAACTTCAAATTCTTCAGCAAATGCGTGACAAATACGCAAATTGCGGGACAGTTGACAGGCCTGATGTTTCCATTGAAAGAGTACGTACAAAACATTTTCCAACTAATCTAGGTAGATTAAATCCTACGGGGAGCTCAAGTTGGAACTATACATAATCATTTAGAAAACTGGACTGGGAAATCAGAGGTCGAAGGGTTTTTCAGAAAAATATGTTCCAGAAATTCTTGACACCCAGTAAGTCGTAGGGTCGAAGGGTCATAGGTCGAAGGGTTTTTAGTACATTCCCGGTCATGACAGGCCTTGCAACCATTGCCACAGTCATATAAGGCTTTTACATTACCACGGTCATGACAGGCCTTGAAATATAGTATAGCATTGTCACGGTCATATCAGGATTTAACATCACCACGGTCTTGACAGGCCTTGCAATATAATATAGCATTGTCACGGTTATACCAGGGTTTCACGATAACACTACCCATTACCACGGTCATGGCAGGATCCTTGCGAAACTTAAAAACACTTATAACATAGTGACGGTTGTGTCAGGCATAGGTCTAATCTTGCAACAGATATCATAGGGTCTTGTAAAAATGTAGCTGGCTTAGGACTCTATTAGACTGTCACTAGACTATGGTATAGTTTTTTTAAATGTTTTTCTTCGTAAGTCAAATCTAAAAATACATGTGTGAAATTGGGTTCTTGATTACTGTAGATTGGGTTAATTTGGCGCCCGCTTTAATTTGGCGAATTTGGCGAAATTGAAAAATTCGCCAATATAAATCTCCGCCAAAATTTAGAATGAATCCCCGGGAATCATCTAGGGTATTTCGTCCAGTGTATTTAGGTCACTTCCGGTTTATTTTTTCCAAAACTATGAAAAAATGTCTCTCATAAATTGGCTCAGAACTGGTCAGTCACTCATTAATACTCAGGGAAAAGTAGCAGCATCGATTGAGGTGTAAAATGTAAAGGATGATCTCACAAAAATGTACAAACGTGGTGAATCGCCAGTGGTCCTCAAAAGAAAAAATGAACATAGCCAAACATGCCCATTTACATGGTAATTCGCAAACAGCGCCAAATTAAATAGCCGCCAATATGCCAAAAATGGCAAAATCGCCAAATTAAGTAGCGCCAAATTAACCCAATCTACAGTATTTCATAGTTTGGTATCTTTTAATTTTTCAGTATTTTGGTCCCAATGTCATAGCTTGTCAGGCCATCCAACTGTCCGCATTATTGTCAAGAAAAAATATTTCAGGAGAAAATGAACGGTGTAAAAAAACGCAGTTTGTACTGGAATTTCATGTGAATTGCATATTTGTCACGCATTTGCTTTGAAATTTCTTGTTTTCAATTTCTTTTTCTAAATTTTAGAAGATGGTAAACTCTTCCATTCCGTTTAAACTCAGAAACTCATCCGCAGACAAGCATAAATCTTTTTTCAATATTTTAGTAATGTTAATATCAGACAAGGTTGACTGACTCTTCAACATGTACATTTTGTGGTGCATTTTATATTGTGATAGGTAAAAATATCATCAGACGGAAAATGGAAAGTCGAAAAAGTAATTACCACTTCTTTCTGTAAGAAACTGAGCTTAAAGTTTATACTGTTGAATGCATGACTTATATTAAAATTAAAAAAATTAAGTGACTGTTGCAATCATTGTCAAAAGCTTATTTTTATTGGAATTTGGCGTTTAACAGCTGGTTCTGTAACAAATGACAGGTGGTGATATTTTGCATATTAAAGTACATGTAATGCCTTGTTTAGATTTGATTGATGAAGAAAATCATTGCAATACAATACATGTAACTTACTTGAACTTGATACTGTTCATCGTGGTGATCCATATCTCTATTTCAGCCAATCCTCTACTCCTATTTCCGCAGTTCCTGCTCATACAGGGTTAGAATAGGTACGTTGGAATTTGTTATTGTAGGGTCTTGTTGACATTTCTATATCATGTACTTGTAAGCCTGTGACTGTTTGTGTTACAGAATTTGCATGTATGTATGCATGCTAGCCATACATTTCATAAAATGCAGTACTGAGATCTTGAGTACATGGTAATTTCCACCATTATTCATGGCTCTTACTTTTTCCTTGATTTGAAAAAATTAGGTTTTTGGTAATCAAATATCACATTTTCGAAAATACATGTACACCAGTATAGTATGTATCATTAATGTTGTCTCCAAATCAGATATAATGTATGTTTCAAAATTAACTTGTTGATGAAGTAATTAGCATCTGAACCCTCTGAATGATCCAATTTTCTGTCTCCTATTTGGTTTTGCAGTATATGCAGTGAAACAAAATTCTGGTAAAAATTGCCTGCAAAATATGAAGCCTACTTGAGATGAGATACTATACAGCAAAATAATTTTGCAGCTATCAATTTATTACAGCATTAGCTCTGAAGGGGGTGGAGTATGAATACCGTGCAGTGAACCTCGTCAAAGATGGTGGCCAACAACATTTTGACGAATACAAACAGCTCAACCCAATGGAAATGGTGCCATCTTTTGTGGTAGATGGTCAAGCATTGACCCAGTCGGTGAGAACTTGTTTCACTTAATCTAACTGAGGTGGGACCTTGCTAGGGATAACAACTGAAAAATGACTGGAAAATTCACTTTTAATTTTTAGAAATGGATAGTATCATGCAAAACTACACCCAAAAGTGTTAAGACATCATATTTTTTAACAAATTAAATGTTTTTTACACTTTCTCGCTTTCCATGGATAAAATAATTTTAACAATTATCATAAGTTATCATTTTGATAAGGTCTTTAAAAACAAAAACACAAAACTTGGTCATATTTTCTACCTTCTAGATAAAAACTGTTTTTGATTTTTACCACCAAAAATGTGATGATAACCAGTTGGAAGATCAAAGATTAAAAAGGAAAAAATCTGATGGTAACCAGTATAAGAAGATCAATGAAAAAGGTTAAAAAATAGAGTTTATTGTCTTATCTAATGACAACAAGATTTGATAACCTATTTTTTATTTTCCCCTGATATTGTAAGGTTCTAAATGATATATCATATGTAAAATAATTGTGTATACCATGTAGAAATTTATTTTAAAAAATATTTTCAAAAAATTGAAAATCGCCCCTTGCTGAAATCCTCCATAACTTCAAAAAGCTCCAACCGGTTTGCTTTAAAAAACAGGAATCATCAGCCATTTTGAAAAATTGCCTCCATTTTAACATTTTTAAATATAACTAGAAAGGTTTTGGAGGGATTTTGTTCATATTTGGTATGTGAATACTTTAAGCATGGCACTGTCTAATGATACTTTTGGTACATGTAGAAGGTGGCCATTTTGAAACATGGCTGCCGTTTTAATGTATTTTACTTTAACGTGAAAAGTAATGGAGCGTTTTTGTTCATATTTGATATGTGAATACTATAAGCATGGCACACTGTCTAATGACACTTTGGGGAGTAGACGGTAATTTTGAAAAATGGCCACCATTTTTGCGTGTGTTATTTTAGTTTTTTTTACTTATAGCTTAAAAAGTAATTGGCACACTGTCTTATGACATATTGGCTAGTAGGTGGCCATTTTTCAAAATGTACGTGTGTGCGATTTTGTTGAAATTATATATGTGCCTACTTGGAAGCATATTACACCTTCTGATGACAATTTGGCTAGTGAGCAACCATTTTGAAAATGGTGGCCATTTTTTGTGTGCATATTTTTGCTATATGCTTCTTTTGTAAAAATGCCAGCCATGGCTGTTCGATTGAATTTGCTACACTTTGGCGTTGCTGTTGTCTAGTTTTTTGATATGATTGCAGTTGTCTATTTAGTACATGTATGTACTTTTTTGTATTTGATTCCAGGTGCCCATCATGGAGTACATAGAGGAGGTTTACCCCCAGAAGCCAAGTTTACTACCCAAAGATCCCTTAGTAAGAGCTCAGGTATGAAGAAAATTAAGTTTTCATTTTCTCACTCATATGAGGGCTGATCAATATGTAGTGGACATTTTTTACACACATAGTTATTAATATTATGGACCAATCACTGATTACCATTGAATATGCATCATTAATTATCTATTACTCTGGAAAATTTGATGATAAGTTATGCATCAAGCATGTGTTAGAAAAGAAGATGAGATATTAATCCTTGTGTAAGACAACATTGGGACAACATGTCATTCTCTTGATTCAATATTGTCCAGGATAAAATATCACAAAATTTCAATACTCTACAACATGGATGAACTATGACCAATGCACTTTAATTTCATATGCCTTGAGATTGGTCCATTAAAAGTGTCTTGTGTACAAAAATTCCATTACTCTTTGATAACCACTCAAAAAAGCAATGCTACAGCATTTTTTTGTTCCCATCAGGAAGCACTGTATATTGACACAACGTTATAGCCACTGATTTTAGAATGGTGTTTGGTATCTGTGATTTCTTGTTGGCATCAATATCACTAGTGTAACCAATTGCTTGTGGTGACATTTGTCTGGTTTTTACTTGGAAAAGTTGGTAATTTAAAGTGTGGAAAACAAGCATATTGCAGAACAATATTATGTGATATCCTGTACATGTATATTTCAACATTTTTTATTTTAATACAATAAATAGGTTAGGGCAGTTTCTGAGATTATAAATAGTGGTATACAACCAATACAGAATCTGCCAGTGCTGCAGTATGTGGGGGATGAAAAGAAGATGGAATGGGGACGTTACTGGATTGATAAAGGTTTCAAAGGTATGAGACTGAAATCGCTGTATATTGAATAAGCTTAGTATTACTTTGCAGTAACGGAAGATGCCTTTATAACGATTATCATTGTCATGTCATAGCATGCTATATTATGTCTGCCTTATATCTGTGCTTTTGGGATATATTTTCATATCAAATTGTATATTCATAGAGTGTTGTTTTATTATTGTGTATCCATAGAGTCTATTTAAAAATGATATAAAGGATGCTAAGGGTGAAAACATCAAATTAATATGGTAATGATACATAAGGTTAGAGTGTGGTTAGGGTGTGTACGATTTGGAATGACTTTCTCAAATTTGGTGGAATTTTCTCATTGGAATTTTTGGGGTCACCCTGTATAAGAAATTTAAAAACCTCAGACCAACCCTGCTATCTCCTCACTAGATGACCTGACAAAATGCATGTTTTATCAACAGGGCTGGAGAAGCAGTTACAGCAGACTGCTGGTGAATTTTGTGTGGGAGACGAGGTGTCTATGGCAGATGCATGTCTAGTTCCACAGGTCTTTAATGCTAACAGGTATAGTAGTTCATGCTCCGTAAAAATGGGTCAGGTGACCACGGTAACCATCTCGGTATTTAGTCACCTAAACCTAATAACTCTCACATGGCCATGAATGAAATTATTGTGAATAATTTGTATAAAAACAACAGCTTGAGGTGCAACATTGCTACACAGTCACTCACATATTCACATTCATAAACATTACAATCTTACATATTTTAGAAGAAACAGTTTCTCTCACCAAAATCGTATACATGTATGTTTATTTTTTTCAGGTTCAAGGTGGATATGAGCCAATTCCCGACCATTAACAAGATTCACCAGAATTGTTTGAACCTAGAGGCATTCAAGGCAGCTGGCCCCACCATGCAGCCAGACTGCCCAGACGATCTCAAATAATGTAGACATAAATGTTGGTACATAAGCCCAAATGATGAGCAGGCCTCGCTTAAAATCTTACGAGTCAATTTGTGTTAGGACAGGTTAAATATGTTCTCATAAGAGGTGGTAGGGGTGAATTTACTTAAGAAAAATTGGCTGCTATTTAATTTGATTTGACATTCGACTTGATTTGACAAAGATTTATACCCAATCTTCTAAAGAATTGGTAATACACCAAATTAAAGTGGATGCCAGTTTAAAGCAAATTTCAGTAAACAATATGTACTACAATATGATATCAACTAACTGACTAAGTGATAAGGAAATAAGGTAATGATAGCATTCAACTCCACAGGAAGGCATATGTATCAATTATAGTGTAGGGCTTAACCAGACTTGACCAAACGATCATATGGCAGCTATAGTGATATTTGGTTTCTCGTGATATACATGTACTGGACTATACCATGCATATACAGATATTTTCATGTTTTTAGTTTCTATCTAATGTACAATTGTTAGGACTTGATACAGTAAGATATACAATCTTGTAGATTAGGGAAATATATACTTGGATTATATCAAAGTATAATGAAAGAATCAATCTTTTTTGTCGATTATGTGTAATAGAATTGAAATTGCTGTAGTGGTCAAAATTGTTGTGGTGGTGGTCAAAATCCTGAAGGGGTGTGTCAGGATCCAGCCTAAAATCCACCAATGGCTTCTTCAAAGTATTTTAATAGATTAATTAAATCACGAGGCTCAACTACAGTGTATACACGAAAAAAGTTAATTTGAAATTTAGACCTACCGGGTGTTTGAAAATCAAGGATTTGATTGTGAGTTTCATACTGCACCGTTTTTCTTCAAACTTGTTCCATTTAAAGCAAAACAAAAATGCCTTTCTGTTGGTACATTATCCTGTTATACAGACTCCCTCCTTTCAGCAGCGTTTGGGTCACCACTTGTAAGGAGCGCTTCTCACAGCTGGGGACCCAAACGCGCACTAAATTGTTTAAGCTCCTTTCCAGAAATTTCAGGGCTAAATTAAAACTGATTTTAGATGGTTAGGGCCTTTTATACAGCCCAGAAGTCTAATATCTAAAATACTTGTAAAGAACGACAAATTATGTGCCAGTTTGAAAAAGGATGCGACGGGAGTGGCGAATTTGAAACATTTCACATAGATTCCCGATTCACTTCACACACATAGATAACATCAATCCGCACCGTATAGGGCTTGCACATATTTGTTACAAAATATTTTTATAATCACACAGAAAGTTTATGGCTTTTAAAATGCAAAAACGATTTGCATCGATGGGTCATGTTGATTTCCAATACTGAACAAAGGCTGTAAACGGTGTATAAAAGCGGAAATTTCAAAATCTGCCTTGGAAGGACGATTAATGCTTAGTGCGTCGCTTACACAACTACAGTATCAACACAATTTCCTTTTTATTAGGGATCGTCTACACATACAGCGTGAGTTATTAACATTTGTTTGTGTTACCTTTTTTGGCTCACCCTGTATGTGAATATAATTGAGTACCCAACATGCCATGGTTTATGAAGTATCGCGAAAACTAATACAACTGAATGACCGTTCAAGTCCACACCGAGCGCACATAGATTTTGTGAATCTTTTGTATGGAATAGTATGTACGTGGTGATAATCTCGCTCGTGGCTTATGTGAATGATTGTGATCCATTCAGTAAGACATGCAAGTCGTTTTCAAGATGCCTATTTCAGCATTATGGTCCATATACTAAACTGTAATAAATGATTTATTCTCTTAAAAGATGACATTAATGGAGTAAGCGTTCCTCCTTCCAAATCCGGAAAGTCTTTCCAATACTGCAATAGACAGCATTAATTTTTGTCACATTAAAAAAGTTGCTTTTATTTTTCAAACTATTCAATATTCTTGTTATTACACCATCGTCATATAAAATGATCCAAGTAATTTTAATACTTTCTAATAGAATTCGCCTTAAGAGAGCATAAAGTGTGTAGTATCTGATCTATATACAGGGTGGTCCAAAAAAGTGAACCCCTGCAACAGGCTATATTTTCCTTAATACATGCATGAATTTGCTCATACTATCACATCCTGCAGAGAAAGGTCTAAAATTTTTGTTGACACCATAATTTATTCTCAGTCTTGAATTTCGAAGAAATTACTAGAATTAAACAAACATGCCTCAAATTAGACTTTGGCCCAAATTTTACCAATGTGATTGACGGAAATTGTTGATACACATTAGATGATCTTAAAAAGGCTTTCAGTGAGAGATTATAAGTTTAAACCCTACCATGTTACAAATGGGACACTATTTGAGCAGAAAACACATTTCACACTTTGATTGACCATTTCGAAGCTGTTTTAACCTTTCAACAGTTTAGAGGCATGTTACCTACACAAACGGGTAGAGGGGGGCAAAGTTACCCCTTGTGACCCAAAAACTGAGAAGCCCTTCATATAAAATCTTACAAAAATTAAAAGGAAATCTAATATTCAGTGTTTTGAGCCATATTTCATTAGAATTGGTCGATTAATGAAGATATTGACATTTTAAGACCATATAGGGTTATGTTGCGATTTCACTGGAAGATGTTCTTGTCTTTGGTAACATTGAACATTTCTTTTGATCACAATAACTTTGCAACTAACAGAGGTAGGATGTTAATTTTTACATCATATTGTGTGGGATTCAAAACCAAACAAATTCAGAAAACATTAGGTTTCCCAGACTCCAGCTTAAGAGTTTCATGGGAAGATTGTTGAAGGGTTCAAGAATCTCAGATATTGAAGTCTACATTTTACCCAATTTCAGTGATGTTTCGTTATGGCTTACAATTTCTGCAAATTTCAATACTAAGAAAAATGTATAGTACCAACAAAAATTTTAGACATTCTTCTACAATATGTGAAACTATGAAAGGATTCCTGCAGGTAATAATGGAAATATAGCCGGTTGCAAGGGTTCACTTTTTTGGACCACACTGTAAGTCACTTCGGATTAGTCCCCTGGTCACATCTGTTGATGTTGCTTCAAATGAATACCACAGTTACAACTCCAAAAGTTAGAACTGCCAAATTTATTGTGGCTGACGTAATGGCGCTATTCACTGGAAATACAAAAATTAAACTTGTTTTTTGCTTACGTTTAAGTTAGGTACATGTGAAAGAAAACATTTTTGAAAAATTGCTATACTTGCACATATTAAGGATGAATGTGTGTGTAAAAATGTTTTCTGGAAACCAAAGAAATCTCCTTGAGGGAACAAAACGAAAGACTAACATCAGAAGCCAATCATACTTTTAGATATTTAGGCTAGATAGTCTTGAATGCTACAAAATATTTGTACTGAATAACAAAGCTGTAGGGTAGAAGTATAAGATACCTTTGGTAGTTGGCTTCTGGCAGATATATCGGTATTTAGCTGTTCTAAGAGAATCCACAAAATTACTTCCCATGCCATGTAGAGCGGCAACATTCTCCCCTCTGAAGTCATTTGGCTCCTTATCCCAACGGCTGAAAAGAACTCATCAAATGAAATAAGGGACAACCTCACTCGAGCAGAAATTGTTTTTGTTTGAATATGACTCGATATAACTAGATAATTATGCAAAGGTATGTGTTGCTTAACTAGCGGAACTCATTTGTGGTAATCACCCATCATCCTTGGTCCAAGGGTATTTCACTTCTTTCCTGAACTGAGAAATAAATGAAGTCCTTTGAATAAAGGATGATCACCAATAAACTTACATTAGGCTCATGTCTGCTCTGACAACATCGTCATTCCACTTCCAGGGTGAGTTCGTGTCATCTCGGTTCAAACCAACAAAGAATCCAGATATGGTCTTGTCAGCTAAGAGTTTTATGCCAACCAAATCAGTCACGTATTCCTATAATATAATTCCGATAATTAGTAAACAATATTTTTATTATCTAGGGGTCAATTTATGTTATGGATAAACTATGAGTACTGGGTCTTATGGAAATAATAAACCCAGTACGAATGGTTTATCTTAAAATCCACACTTGTGAAAGGTAAATGGTCCATGGTCCAATTTTAGGAATATTTCATTTGTTTTGTATTGAGTATGAGGAAAGTGTGTTTAGAAGTGACTGAGTGTAATTAGTTCAGCTTCAGTGCACTGCATGCCAGGTACAGTTTAAAATTTGATTCATTTTGTGTTACATTCAAATATTGCATGGGTGAATAGGGTGTAATTAGTTCAGCTTTATTGCACTGCATGTGACAGTCAATCATATTTTTGCCACACTGGTTTTGGATAGCTTTCCAAGTGTTAATTCTTTAAAAGCGATAGAAAAAGAATGCAATATCGTTACAACTGTACATTCTTTGAAATAAACTACAGTTCATACTATTGTGTTGCTACCTAAGTAGGGTCTAAGGGCAACAGAATATACTGAAAATGAATTAAGCATGTACCATGTGCCCCCTATGAATTAGTTTACATTATGCATTCATTTGGATTGTGTCGTCTAACGTACCATTTCATCCTCGTCATCAAAAGCCACCAAGTCAGCATTTGGATTCGATGTTGCACAGCTTATTCTAGCATCAACCCAGTTCTTGTACTTTGTGGCGTCCCCCATTCCTTGTAACATGTAACAATGACCCTTTCTTGTTGACCAACCCTGTTGACAAGGTGATTGCTGACCTGAAATTATTTGGTAATATTTTATTTTATAAGTAGGCTATGCTAAGACGGGCTCCTTTAGCTAATATCGTCTCGTCTTTATTAATTATTAATGCTCATATAACAGAAATCATTATTTCGAAAATTAGTGACATAATGCATGTCTCTCTGAAATGCAAATACTTTTTCGAAAGGGCATGACATGATGAGGGCAAACGATATTTTAGAATTGTAACAATTTTCCGAAACTTTCTCTTTATTCATCTCTAGCTTTCTGCTCTCTTACTCAATTACAGGGTGGGCCAATAAAAATTGGAACATTTTTCTATTTATTCAATTTTCTTTATTTTTGCAGTTCAATTTACAAAAATTCAGATAATGGTAAAATGAATATTTGTGAAAATGTGAAAGATAAAAATATGTATGTATGATTATTTTTGGCTTGTCATGTCATGATCTGTATACTGCGTGCGTCATGAAAAATTTCCAAATGTTCTCTGCTTGAGACATCATTTCTAAAAAATACAGTATCTCATAATATACAACATAATAATAATAGGATTTTATTAGTACTGATGCCCTTTTAGGGCCAAACGTACATCCAATATACAATTTTCAATAACAGTAAATATAGGCAATAAAGTAAAGAAAATAGGATTACATTCTTCAAATGACATATAAAATGTTACTTTGATATAAGAATCCTGTCTCTACCAATCATTAGATACTTTATCATGTCAGCAGATTCTTTTAATATGATCCCCTCACTCGTCAATAGAAAAATTGTCTTTTGGTGGTCATTCATGTTTTTAAAATTACGACACAGGTTTTCAAGTTTTTCAATATGGGATTTTCTGATAAACTCCAATTTTTTACATTTGAATAAAAAGTGTGTTTCATCTTCTATAACCGAGTCCTTGCATATTTTACAAAATCGACTATTAAGATCAGTAATTGGTTTTGTATATCGGCCTCTCTCTATCTCTAGATTGTGGGCGCTTATACGTAATCTAGTTAAATGTTTAGCATTTGAAAGTGTCGTTTCTGAAAGGTAGTGTTCAAATCCAAAGTGCGATTTTAGTTGTTTAAATAATCTAAGTTTTCCCCCATTCCCACTTATCAGATTCTTCCAATATACTTGATATCTCTCTATTAGTTTCTTTTTGACTTTAATAGCAAGCCTATTCGTGCTCAACTCTATGTTTACCCTATCTTCAAGATTCAATTCATCAGACATTTTTATTTTAATATGGCACAGTATATTTTTGAGTTGTTTGTGCCATGTAAATGTGTTATTTGTTAAATCAAATGTTTTACTCATAATTAATGAATCGTTTAGTAAACTCCCATTTGAACTCAACTCTAAATGACCGAGGTATTTGATTTGTCTTTTTATAATATCAACTACCAAAGGTATTCTTCCCAATTCTCCTCTTACTGCCATGTTTGTGGCTTTTCTATGAACCCCGAGAACATATTTTTGGAACCGAATATGATTGTTTTCAATTAAAGCACTTTCGTATTTCTGTTCAATATCTCGATTAGTTTGGCAGTCACGCTTGGTATATATATCATTACACCATATTTCCGAACCGTATAAAGCGACGGGTTTGATAAGTTGATCATACAATTTCATTTTCAGTGAAGACTTCATCTCTGTGCCGCTTGTCAATTGATAAAGTTTAAACATGGCTTTATTTGCTTTTTCTTTTATGTTTTGTTGGGCCGGTTTAAAAGATCCCGAAGCACTTAAGACAATTCCCAAATATGTATACCTTTGAACATTTTGTATATTCTTACCATTTATTTGAAATCGTTCTTGACAAACTTTGCCACATTTCCAGAATTTCATAATTTTTGTTTTGTCAATGTTAATTTCAAGTTTCCAGTCATCACAGAAGGATTCAAGAGTGTTCAGTTTTAGCTGCATTCCTTCTTTACTAGTATCAAATATGACTAGATCGTCTGCAAATAGCAAACTGCTAACATGTTGAGTTTCAAGGAACGGAGATTCCCCAACATTATCAAACTTTTTTATAATATCATTTATATATATGTTAAATAATAATGGACTGAGCGAGTCTCCTTGTTTTACACCCCTATCACATGAAAACGATTCCGTATAAGTGGAATGATTAAGTTTTACACACGCCGTGGCATTTTCATACATGGTTTTAATGATTTTGTAGAAGTGCCCTTTGATTCCTGACTTTTGTAACTTATACATAAGGCCTGTGTGCCATATCGAATCAAATGCCTTCTTTAGGTCCACAAAGCAGGCATAAAAATTACTTTTATTTTGATGAACATGTTTGTCAATAAGAGACCGAATTATAAATATATGGTCGGTCGTTCTTGCTTTCTTCATAAAACCTGCCTGGTTTTGTGAAATAATATTATTTGATTTGACAAATGCATAAAGGCGATTATATAGCACATTGGAGAAAATTTTCGATAAGCATTCCGAAATAAATATGCCACGATAGTTACCTGGTACTCGAGGGTCATTTTTCTTGTAAATTGGTACAATATAGGATTCATTCCACGATACTGGGTATTGGTTATTACATAATATTTCATTGAATATCTTGCAAATGCGAGGAATTAAAATTTGCCTTCCTGCCTTTACCCATTCATTAGATATTCCACTTTTACCCGCAGCTTTTTTATTTTTTAGTTGGTTTACTACCATATTGATCTCTTCATATGTTATCTTGTAACTAAGTTCGTCAAAATTAGGCTCGTTTTCTAGTTTTTTCAATCTATTTAAAATATCGTTGTCATCATTACTGTTATTTGAAAATAATTTAGAAAAATGATTTTTCCATTCAGATGCCTCTATATCATTAGAGGGGTTAAATGAATTGCTGTCTTTTCTGAGGCTACTGAGAAGCTTCCAATATTCAGAGGGGTTATTTTCTTCAAAGTCTTCAAGTTTCAATATTAGACTGTTTTTGAATCGTTTATTGCTTGACTTACATAATTTTCTATATTGTTTTAGTACATGGAAATAGGATTTTCGAGCTTGTTCGTTGTTCGGTGATTTCACCAGTTGCAAACCCAATCGTCTAACGCGCTTATTCAGAACGGAACAAGAAACGTTAAACCACGCTTTGTTATTCCTTTTATTAGGTCGTGATTTTTTTCTCTTCTTTAGAGATAATGTCGCTGTTGTAATAAGTAAATCATTTAATTTATTCATACTTTCATTTACCCTGTTTTGTGAGCAGTGCTCAATAAGCCCATCCAATTGCTTTAATTTAGCTGCGATCGGCGCTGTTTGAAGAGTTTCACGAAAGACAGATGGGGATAAGTTATCCCATTTGAATGAATTTGCCTTCGAACTTACATGATTTTTTTTGGTGCAGATAGGATTCTTATGACAATTTTCTACTTTAAGTAACATGGAAATCATGCAATGATCTGATAAAGAGCTTAAACTATCATGAACCTTAAATAATCTTATTCTATTCATAATTGACTGTTTTGCAAGGCAATAGTCAACAGTACTACTACCATTGTATTTATGGCATGTGAACGAACCATATGCCCTTCGAATAGTCTCAACACAATGTCCATGTGTAGTTATACCTAGGAGGAGCTAGACATGTCTCCCTTGGATAATATGCCTTAACTAACCTCCACTTTTTTCAAAACGGGTACAATATGTCTCAAACCTATCATTTAAGCCAAGCATGACTGTCAAGTACAGCTCAGACTGATTGTTCAGGTGGGCGGAGGACATGTTCAGTAATAAAATGTTGATCATGCATATTCATATTTACGAAAGCTGTTGACAATGAATTGTTTTTTAAATTTTCTGAAGTATTGAAGATAATACAAGACAAACAAACAAAAAAGTTACAGTTGATGGAAAATGATCCAGTTTATTTACTCAATTTAAAGGTTTACTGAACATGTCCTCCGCCCACCTGAAGAATCAGCCTGGGCTGTACTTGACAGTCATGCATGGCTTAAATGACAGGTTTTGAGACATATTGTGCCAGTATTATCCAAGGGAGAAATGTCTAGCTCTTCCTACAGAAAAGTACTTGTTTTAATTGATGAAAATTGTGCTAAGACCATTTGAAGGGTACAAATTGTATGATATAAGTGATACTGTGTTTTCAGCAGTGATGTCTCAAGCAGAGAAAATTTGGAAATTTTTCATGATGCACGCAGTATACAGATCATGACGATGACAAGCAAAAATAATAATAATACGTGCATATTTTATCTTTAACACTTTCAGAAATAATCATTTTACCATCATCTGAATTTTTGTGGATTGAACTGCAAAAATAAAGAAAATTTATAACGAATATACGTAATAATCATAACCACCATCGTATTCACATACATGTGGTTTTATTACGAATATATGTAATAATCATACCCACCATCGTTTTCACATACTTTATTACGAATATACGTTATAATCATAACCACCATCGTATTCACATACATGTGGTTTTATTACGAATATATGTAATAATCATAACCAACATCGTATTCACATACATATGGTTTTGTTACAAACATATGTAATAATCATAACCACCATCGTATTCACATACATGTGGTTTTTTTACGAATATATGTAATAATCATAACCACCATCGTAGTCACATACATATGGTTTTATTACAAATATATGTAATAATCATATTCACCATCGTATTCACATACATATGGTTTTGTTACAAATATATGTAATAATCATACTCATCATCGTATTAACACTGATAAATATGGTTTTATTACAAATATACTCATACCCACTATCGTATGTTCAGATACATATGGTTTTCTTACAAATGTATGTAATAATCATAACCAACATCGTATTCACATACATGTGGTTTTTTTACGAATATATGTAATAATCATAACCACCATCGTAGTCACATACATATGGTTTTATTACAAATATATGTAATAATCATATTCACCATCGTATTCACATACATATGGTTTTGTTACAAATATATGTAATAATCATACTCATCATCGTATTAACACTGATAAATATGGTTTTATTACAAATATACTCATACCCACTATCGTATGTTCAGATACATATGGTTTTCTTACAAATGTATGTAATAATCATAACCAACATCGTATTCACATACATGGTTTTATTACATACTCACCATCATATTCACATACATATGGTTTTGTTACAAATATATGTAATAATCATACTCATCATCGTATTAACATACATATGGTTTTATTACAAATATACTCGTACCCACTATCGTATATTCACATACATATGGTTTTCTTACAAATGTATTTAATAATCATAACCACCATCGTATTCACATACATATGGTTTTATTACAAATATATGTAATAATCATACTCACCATCGATCATATTCACATACATATGGTTTTGTTACAAATATATGTAATAATCATACTCATCATCGTATTAACATACATATGGTTTTATTACAAATATACTCATACCCACTATGGTATTCACATACACATGGTTTTATTACAAATGTATAAAATAATGATACTTACCATCGTATTCACATACATATGGTTTTATATTAGAACATCCCGAATTATCAAAAACTCCATTCTTCCAAATCTGGCCACAGTTCTGCAGGCCATTGTAATTATTTGGTTCCTCGTCCCAAGTACTAAAGAAAATGTGAATTAGTTATTACATTGAGACTCATCAGGAAAATGGTCGATAAAAATGGAGATATAGAATCAATTTTGATAATACCTCTCATATACATCCTACACTGTTTAAATATTCAGGGCAATTCTTTAAAATCTGCTACAACGACAAAACCTCGCTTACGCGTTTTGCAAATTCTATAAAGGAAGATGAAAACATGTTTTTAACATTAATGTTGGCCTACATAAGCTTTTTATCTGCTTTAGATCCATCTGCCCAAACCCAGGGGTGACATCTATCGGTTTGATCGCGGTCATTGAGGGATGTCCAGAAACGATCATCCTTCCTTTGCACCAGTGTGGCTATTACTGCCTGAATAAATAAAAATGAATTAGGTTTAACTCGAAATTATGTTTTAAGCTATCATTCTTATTGGAATTCTTGTTGCTTGTTGGAATGTCAAAAAAAAATGAGCTGGACATCGCCGAATGTCATTAGCGCATTTTGAGGTCTATAGCACTATAATGTGAGTTCAACTATCCTTTATTCATCCTATTGCTCAATCAATTACACATGACTAAGCCTAGGTGACTTGACTAAGCCTGGATGACTAAGACTTACTGCGTCTTGTGGGGAGTCTAGTGCAAGAAGATCCCCACCTTGGTATTGCATACACGCCTGTCTTGCATCAGTCCACGAAAGTCTTAATTCTGTATTTAATTGGAAGCATTTCCCAGCGCCAGCATCCCAGCCTGCGACGCAACCACTCCCTACTGGAGCTGTAAGAGTATAAAAAAAACTTTTAAAATATTATATGAGTTCGTCACGAGTATATACATCCAAGGGCTCCATCGAGTGAGAAACACCTCGTTTTGGTAACCATGACGTTTATAGGCTTTTTCACAACGCAACCAACAAACAAAGACGTTATGAAATTCACCAGACAACGTCCTGGTTGCTGAAATGAGGAATTCTCTCTCGATTTTTGGAGCTGCTGGATGTATTTGCTCGTGACTGAATAGCTTTTCAGTATCCGGATGTTACTATTAACATATGTGTAAAATGATTGAAATTGATGAAAATAAATATTTACTCTGACAGAAGTTCATCCATTTTGTTATAAAGACGTCACGTCTTTGTAGCCAGGTTGGGATCTGTGTATAAGTTCTCTTGACTAGAACCGTATAGGGTGTGAATTGTATTTACCTTGGCAAATATATGATCTCTCTGATGAGCATTGTACGTCTTTAAATGATGTGCCATCATTCAAAAGTAAACCACAGTACTCTCTGGCGCCGTAATTATTAGGTTCCTTGTCCCATTCACTGAAAAAGATATAGACTTGAAAAAATAGTGCCATCCAGGGCGCAATGTCTCTGGATGAGTTCTTCAGGTATTCAATGCTCTAGACATTGGTAAAAATATTGTTTACCATTTATTCATCACTTCATTATTAGAATACGTCCAATTATTCCATAATAACATGTTTTCCCTGGGAATTAAATAAACTGGGAATAAAACTGATATTCAAAAAAACCCGTAGATCAGATCCCGTTTCAGCCAAATCCAGTATCAGATCTATCAGAGAATTTCATTTCATTTTATGTCAACAGCATTAGGTAACGACGGACTAAACAAGTTTCAGAAATATATCATAGAATAAATATAGGTTATTGATGATCGTGATGGATTATGAATTTTTTCCTCGAGAAAATATTTGCCTCGGAAAATACATGTATCATATTGGGCAGTCGCCCTCGGCCAATATGATATTTTCCTTGGTCAATATCATATTTTCCCTCGAAATAAAATTCATATCCCATCCCTCCCATTGAATAACCTCTATTTATAATATGAGATTATAATGTCATTATCGTTCACACTCTACATCGAATAGCTTCTCTATAATTGCATAGATGGGCTTACATCAAAGACATGTCTGCGAGATTGGAATCACTGTTCCACTTCCAGTTCACCTTATCGCCATTTGGTAAATTGTTGAGGCCAGTCCACCACGATGGGCCATTACGTATTCTGAAGAGGTCACTGATCTTTTGTTTGAACCATAACTTAAACAAATACATGCAATGGTCTAATTTGTTTGGCTCCGTCGTAGGGTTATAGGTTTATAAAATTCCGGTAGCAAAGTAAGTTGAAGCAAGACGCCTATAGATCTCGATAGACGTTCTTGGTTGAAGCCATTAGCCGCTAATGAAACAAGAAATATGCATGTTGCTAAACAGAAGTCCCGGTAACGCAAGGCAACCGACACACCCTTTTGTGCCCTTTGGGGTAAAATCAACATATTTACCATCTCACTTTGGGAGTTGATCCATACTAGGTCAGATGTTGATTGCATGTTCCTGCATGCTGTCTTAGCCTCATCCCAGCTCTTCATTGTACTACCACTCCTCGTACTGAAGTAATAGCAAGAAGTACCATAGGACTCCCATTCATCAGCGCATATCCCACCTAATACGAAGGATGAAAATGCCTTGGCCCCATTATGCAAATTCTTTAGTAATTTCTTCATTCTCCAAAATCGTTACTTTACCATGGATGTTTTTGGAAATTGGAATTCAAGATTCGACGGCATATAGTTATTGCCGGTAAATGTACGCCTTTACCTGTAGTGTCATATTTACAGATGTATCCCCTAGATCTAGCACAAGTGAGATCGTTGTATTTCCCATCCTTTAAGATGTCAGCACAGTGTTCTGTTCCCTTGGCATTGTTAGGTTCTGAATCCCAGTTGCTACAATAAAGGATATGTCCGTTGTCAAGATTGGGTAGTTTATTGATATTGACCGATGACACGCCTAACCATCGACAACGTACAGTGACAAAATATATGGGTGTACATATTAGATGTACGTTGTCATATATTAACGATGCGAAGGAAAAACTGTGATGTAGGTTTTAAAAGATTCATTTGAGGAACATCACTGGTCTCGATCAAGCAAAGGGAACGGCTTTCACCATCGCATCAAAGATGGCGGAGGGGAAGTGTCGATTTCGATATTTTTAGTTTTCGTCGAATTAGACTAGGTTATAGTTGATATAATGATTTGATATTTGAAATAAATCCTATTTATATGACATGGAAACTCTGGAGTATGATCATTTATAAACGACTTTTGCCGAGTTTGACCGTATAGGCAGTTTGAATCCTATTCCCTGGATTCCTCCATTGCAAACTTTGCAATTCTGTAGGGTTTCTTAGAAAAAATCGTGTGTACTGAAATTGAACTCAGTTGGCCTTATTTAAAAACAACGTAAGCAACCTGGCTTTAAGAAAGATGTCCCTATTGTTTTTGCTTAAATTGTTCATTAAACAATTATTAGGATCTTGATTTGAACAATTGGTGTTATTTTATCTTGAATAAACCTAGAACTATTGAAGTTCTGAACTTTCCAGATACAGCATAAACACCACATCACCACTTTTGTACATAAAAAAGCATTCAACAAGAGGTAAAAAGCATATTTACCTTATTTTTAACACCATCTTTAAAAAAGATATTTGAACACGTTATTTGAACAAAAAAACATTTGATACTCATTAATTCCCTTGTGTATTTTGAAATAAAATTGTAGCATTGTTTACTATTACATCTCATAAATTTCATAAGTTGACAACCGTACAATTCCGATTTTTAAAAATTATATCCAAAACGTGAATATTTATTAAATCTTCATTCGTCCTAAATTTTGTAGTTTATATTTAGCATATGCATATAAAAATTATGAACACTCTTTAAAGCTAAGGGGAAAAGTGGTTAATGAAAATGTGAATATAATCAACATTTTGCAATCGGTCAATTATGTTGGTGGAATTACCTAGAAAAAACCGGAGCACTATTCGAGAATCTGTTTACGTAATTAGAAAGTTAAAGGTTTTACCTAGAGCATGCAGAAGAAATTAAACATAATTTACTTCATCATATTCCTTAAATAAATCTCTGAAAACATACATCACAGTTTTTGCTTCAAATCGTTAATATATGACAACGTACATCTAAAGTTTACACCCGTATATTTTGTCACTGTACATTGTCGATGGTTAATAGGCGTGGATGATTCAAGGATAAAGCACAATTAGCAACGACTGAGAAACAAAACAAAATACTATCATGTACACAGTTCCAGCAATAAAATGTTCAAATTGTAAAGCATGAATTTTGAATGCGTTATCTATCCATTAGTATTTTGTACATATGTACACCATCCTGAGTTAACTATTGGCGTTTCAATGTTATCTATGCAAGTTTTACGATAAGATAATTGAACAAAAATAAGATAGTTTGTACATGTTCCCATGACCTAATGAACTCCAGCCATATTTGCATGAAAACACTACTGATATTTCGAAACAAAAGGAGCATGTAGGTTATCGCAAACAATTTCAGAAGGTTATATCTTGGATTATGACTATTTTCTGACAATGAAGACAGGTTTATCTTTAAGATCAATTCATTATCTCAAAGAAAATTATACACAGTAATAATAAAATCAAACAAACTCGGAGATATTTAACTAGCAATCAACCAATCAACACACTTTTTCAAAGATGTTGACCCCATTTTCACCAAAAATGCAATCATTTTTTACAATGTTTTATGCATTACTATTCTTTATTTTGATGTATCAAATAGTTCTTAAAAGAAAAACTGAATTGCTTTAAGATAAGTGTTCCCCATATTATTTCTCCATTGAAAAATCTCATACTATCCATTGCTTTCAGTTCATTTTGGTCATTCAAATTCAATATCTTTAAAGTCCCTTGAGCAATCAACTTTTCCTTTTAGGAAATCGAACATGTCTCAAAGCACATTCTAATTATGCATTCAACAATGTAATAAAAGGTTGCATTTTTGGTGAAAATTAGGTCAACATTTTTGAAAAAGTATGTTGATTGGTCCATTGCCCCTTCAATATCACTTAGGTCTGATAAACTAAATTATCATTATATATACTTTTCTTGAAGATAATGCATGGATCTAAAAGATACACCCATGTCCATGATCAAAACATATTCATAATTCAAGTCAGAATCGTTTGAAATTGTTTGCGATAACCTACGTGCTCCTTTGCATTTTTAAGGAACTTCTCTGAAATATAAGAGTCCCATTCTAGTAAAAACTGGCAACGTCCATTTCGGTCCAATCTCAGAGTACCAAATAAAGGTCTTACATGTTGGACAGCGATGGATGTGTGTAGTCACCATCTCCCCAACGCCACATTGGAAGGCAAGATGCAGTCGGGTAATCAGGTTTGTTCAGGCCTGTCCAAACCTTGAATCCCCCAAGAAACTGTACCATATGTGCCTCAATAGCACGCTAGAAGTTTTAAACATACTGTCAATTACATTTCAGTGGACTCGTTGCATGTATCTAAACGTTTTAAGGTACTGTTAAATACGTTTCATTGGACTCGTTGCATGTATCTGAACGTTTTAAGTTTTTTTTTCAAGTCATATTTTTCAAAAAATGTTTCGAATGGTTTTTATGAAAAGTAATATTTGAATGGTTAAACTTTTATTTCAAACTTTGCACAGAGCCTTAAGTAATGAGACTATGAGGAATAAGGAACTGTCCATTGAATCCTTACTCGAGTGTCATCCGTTGTGTATTTGAGAAGATCCCCTCCCTTCTGTTTGCAATCTGCACGGGCATCATCCCATGGCAACCTGTTCCGCATGTTGAACAGGAAACACTCGCCTGCCAACAATTCCCAACCAGTCTCGCATCCTAGTTCTGCACAATGGGCTGAAATAACAACACATGTCATTATTTGATTCATTGATGGTAGGGAATTTGCGAGGGCTAGGTATGATGAGACAAAAATCAAGAAACGTGCATAAATTAAAACTAAAAGGAAAAAGAAAGGATATAGTGAAACATGTTGGAAGCAACTTTTTCAAAAACGTGCCAATGACCCTTTCAATCCTAATTTCATTTTTTTGAGGAAGGAATTGCGATATCTGATCAAATACAGGAGTATTTGAAGATTTGATTCAATTTATCCGTCGGATTCAAAAAGGGAAAGGACACTTTATCAATATTTTGACAGATAAGCCAAAAGTGTAAGATTTTTTCTGACTTTTTGACGGACCTTTAGGAAAAAGACATGACGTGGAACGACGAGACACTTTTTGTGACTAAGGCCTCAGTCACATTTGCTCTGGGGCGTACGGCGGCCGGAGCTTCCCAGAATCGAAATCTACGTACTGGAAAAACTATTATTCCTAGATTTTATGCTGCATATTTCTGTCGATTTTGGGAAACTACGCCTGTCGTAGGCCTACGGTTGCCATCGATCAAATGTGACCGAGACGTACTCTCAGATCGTCGTTATCCATTCTATTTGACCCAAAGATATAATTTTGTTTGCACATAAATCCAGATAAATTGTTTTGAGCACCAAAATATTAACGCAGTGTGTTCTTATATTATACCTGTGCAGAGGAAACAACCCATTAAAATCCATATTGATTTTCCTACTTCCATATTGTGTAATAAAATTCAAATTTTATTCTTAAAATATGTCCACCTTCTAGATCATTGATTAACTGTTTTGCTGAAGGATGCATTGTCCTTGGTCCTCGTAAATTTATAGCCTGATTACGGTATCAGAAACGGGCTGGCATGGAGAGTCCTTGGAACAGTCCTTAACATACATTTTAATAAGATTAACTTCAAGACAAGAGATAATATATAAACTCCAAAAAGATTCTATAGATAGCATTGTAATTGATCTAATATTAGAACCTGTGCATGGGCGTGTAATATTTCGGCCCCCGGGGTTTGTTGTCCCGCTCTCAATTCACTTTCCAGGGACCTAATTACAATTATTTTACGTATACATACTCAATAGGCAAAGTAAGCAATACAAATGGTAGGTGCATTCATGCACCCTCTGGGTCTCTGAGGATCGTGAGGATCTAATGCAAGTCCTTACGACAATCCAACGCATTAGAGGCGGTGTTCACCGTCTATACAAATGGGGGAACTTATCCACAGCCCGGGTCCACAGCGCATCATAATTCTACACGTTCACGCATACGTTTTAAAAAACGTGTATTATAACCTCTCCTAATCAAACATGACTTTTAAAAGTGCAAAGCCTCTAAGTGCGCTCCTTAGTGAATTTTAAATCACCTCTTCTGCACTAAGGTTCCAATACACCGTTGGAAAGCTGTCAGATTTTAGAATTTAACCTCCATTCAAACTTTCGCTGAACGTGAAATTAGAGATTAACCCTTTCGTCACCAAGGGGTAAAATCAAAAATGTTTTGACAATCGGTATAGCCTAGTACAAGTACTTTCAATCAAAAAGTTCAATAAATAAATTTTGTGGACTTAGCACATCATGAGTATGTAATTGTGATGCACGGTTTGAACTCCGTGGTCAATACATTTTTTGTTTGAAGTTTCTACCCAAATATATTTGAACAAATCTTATTTAGGCCTACGGTATATATTTTTTGTTGACTTTTCATATAAAACAGGAGAATGCACATTAATCAGTAGGCCTAAAAAGTACATAGGGAATAAATTCTTCGTTTTCGTCGTCACGCTCCAAGATCAAATCTGCGGCTTTGCTTCAATCCTTAGTTCATGTGAGAACGGGATGGTGGTTGCATATGTGAAAATGTAGCCTATGGTTTCAGAATGCCTAGATTAGTCCTTAATAATTGGTTAATGTCGTCGTCGAGAATAATAATGTCCAAAGTGCCATTTTTGAAAAAATTGAGATTTTCTCAGATTTCCACTGTTTAAATCATCCTCTTTCTTACTGTGATATTCCCTTACCTTTATCTCCTCTCAATAGCCTGCTTTTCAGTGTCTAATTGTCCTAACTCCCCCACTGAACTACGTGTTAAAGCCTCTTTACCTTTGAATTTTTATTTGCTTAACCTGCAATGAAAATACTTACACTATTAATGTAATAGTAATTTGGGATCGAGGGGGGGGGTCGGATGGAGGGGATCACGTGTATACAAGACATGATAAGACATGCCCTTGAATTTATTCTTATGACCCCAAATTTTCCCATTTTTCATTCTCCAGAGATATAATATCCACTCTAACTGGGGTACTGAGTTCAGATTTTTCAAATACTCGCGATGGGAGTTCTTGTGCATTTGTTCCATCGTAAATATATATAACTCCCCCCCCCTCCATCCGATCCCCCTCCATCCCAAATTAATTTATTTGGATTATTTTTTGTATAACGCATGGAAACTAACTTTAAAAAGTGAGCAATGTCATAACGTCCCTTATACCTATTTATTCCAGGTTACGTAGACCATTGTTGCCCGATTTATAGCAAAAACATTGACTTTTGCACGTTGGTGATGATGCGCCTTTTTTAATAGATCTTAGAAGGGCCATCGGTTCAAAAAAAATACTAGATCGACCTAACATATTTTGCCATGCACTGCGCCTATTCATTTGGCAATTCAGTTGTAAATTTCCTCTTGAAAAAATAAATCTTCCAAAGGATCTAGTGCACCTGCCATTATGATCTCCCCATGAACAAAATGAATCATTTTTAGGTGTAATATAAAGAATACAATGTTACATAATACTTTGGAAAATATTTAAGCGTTTGGCCCCACATGGGCTGAGATTGGGGTCATTAAGTTCAGCAAGGGTGTATTGACTTGACATTGGATGTGTTCTATTGACTTAACATGTGGATACCATCAGATTCCAATGGAGGCCATTGGTTTCTATTGATTTTCACAAAAATACCTAAAATACACTATGACCTGAATCGATTGCAAATTAAATAATTTCACAATATGACACAAATGGTATTTCAGATCAGATGTGCAAATATAAAGTTTGCAATCGATTCAGGTCATACTTCAAATTAAAAGATTATTCATTTTTTTCATCATTTTTTTTCCTACAAAATGGCTATAGAAAAATGCTTCAAAAGCAACTTTTACACTTATGAAATCCCATACAACTTTGTAAATCCAAAGATTATACTGTTATGATTCATTAATTAATAACATATTTTGATAAGATGTAGGGATGTGTAGGATGCAAATGGATTTTGACAGACACAAAAAGACTTCCTGGTTTGGCATCTCTACCCCTGTACACTTTATGATTGAATATTGCCCTAAAAAGTGGCCCATTCATCAATACAGTGCTGAATATAGGTCAACAAGATACTAGTGTACATATAAATGTAATAATAAAAGCAGTATATTTATTTTGAAAAATCAGATGAATTTATTTTTGTTCATGGGGAGATCATAATGGCAGGTGTACAAGATCCTTTGTTGAGTTTTCCTGCAGAAATTGCTTAATCCCCCCACAATTTTACAGACTCCTTTGGAATTCTTAACTTGAATTTTATCATCTCCCCAACTTAAAATTTTCATTTTTTATCATCTATAATATTAGGCCTACATATTGATAATCGTTGCAGACAGGAAAGTGTATTGAAACGATTTCACGAATTCACTCCCGGGAATGAGATATCCGTTGTGAGAATCGGCTGATGATCCGAAATTTACACCCAGCTTCCACAAACTTCCGGTTGAAAGTTTTTTTCCCTTTTCACTATTTTCGATGTAATGGAAATTCTAAGAATCCTACGTGATGGAATTTATATCTGAAGCATAATGGTATAATTAGGTAATATATTTAGCTCAATTGTTTTATTCATGTTGTTACGTTCGAAAATAACAGAAAGTAAAAACAGCAATTAAAATATGATTACAATATATTTATATTTTGAAAACTAAATAATATAACAATAATATAAAGGAGGTTTAATACTTAAGTGATGTCCAATCAATGATACCGCTTATTCTTGATGTCGATAAATGTCGTTGACGATCCTTTGGAATGTTCCAGATCACGAAATGTTTCAATAATCGTTAATAGTTCTCCAATGTTTGTAATAATCCAATAATGTTTGTTGTAATCCTATAATGTTCGTATCCAATAATGTTTGATGATAATCCACAAATGTTTGATGATAATCCACAAATGTTTATGATAATCCACGAATGTATATGATAATCCGTATATAGTGTGTGTTGTAATATATGTCCATATAAAGTCCTCAGGTTGTATGTTTGTAGTGTTATAAATGTTCCCACAGTACGTTGTTGTAATTTTCTGCTAAGAAGATGTCCTTTTGATAAACTTTGAAATTCTGCTACAGAGTAGATGTCCAGTTATGATGACTTAATTTATCTGCTAATGAGAGTCACTGTGCTGTTCTTTTTATAATGTGAAAGAATGATCCAGAAACGAATCTTCTAGAACTGAGACTACTTGTTGAGTTTTGATTGGACATCTCTAGTCACATGATTAAATCTTAATGAATGGTTATATTTTCTAGAACTCTCTGGATGGTCAAGGGTTAATGAATCATTCAGTTCAGTTTTGTTTACTAGATACAGTGTATAATGTCATTGTGACCTTGACCAAAGATCTCTAATAAAGAATAGCTCAACATATACAGCAAGCACAGATCACAAATCAAACTATAGGTGAATATAGTAGAATATAATATACATGTAGCTCACTACTGTAACACCTCCCTCCTTAAAAGAAAAGTTTTGAATGCAATGAAAAACTTTTACAATAATATCTTAGCTTGAGTAGCGAGCATTACAATTTCTAAAAGTGAGGTTGAGACTTACATAATATTTGTTTACAATATTCTTTTTTTTTATATGCAGTATGTTTACAAATATATAATACTTTCTATCGTTACAGTGTGAGTACAATCTAATAACATATAATTTTCTGTAATAATCCCATACTACAATAATATCTACATCAGTTATGCATTAAGTCATAAATACAATACACGCAATAGATCATATAACATGTGCAATAGCATAATTTTTGAGTCTGACAAACACAAAACTAGTACAATGTTTTAAATGATCTTATGTAAGTATTTCTAATAGTACACTCTGATGTTATCAAGTAATCTTGTGACACTATTTAATGATCACCTATAATGCTCATATAATCTAGGAACATTCTTGTAGTTCATATAATATCAATTTCACTATTTAGGCAAATGTTTTTATATACAGTATATAAGTGACAGTTATCTCAAATCTCCAATTTGCCTATCATATAATATAATCTTCATGAGTTAATCATTATAATTTACAATATCTGACTCTTGAATAACATATAGTTGTCATTTACATACAAGTTTGGCCTATGAGCTAAGAGCGCAAGCTCATGTTGAGTAAAGAAATTTTATCACGCTCAACATACTTTTTCATCATATGTAACTCTCTACACCTCACAGGAGTAGTTTTATCAATGCAAATGAAATCATTCAGCACTGAGTTAGATTGTAAGTCAGATATGAGCTCCTTTGGTAGCTCAACTAATGTGGAATTGTTGATTTGTGTTTTCACAATATACTTGGTTTTGTTATTTCTAAGCATAAGGTGTGATTTTATTTCTAGAAACTGTGTGGCCATAGACAGAATAGTGAACAGATATTGATTATCAGATTTTGTTTTTGGTAATGGACCAACACAGTCAATAAGAACCTTACTGAATGGTTCATCAAATGCAGGTATAGGGTGTAAAGGAGCAATTGAAATTTTCTGGTCAGGTTTCCCTACCATTTGACATGTATGACAAGACCTACAATACTCTTGGACATCTTGTTTTAATTTGGGCCAATAGAAATGGTTGAGTATTTTATGGTATGTTTTAGTTACTCCTAAATGACCTGCCATAGGCGAATCATGAGCTAGACTCAAGATTTCCTTATGATATGATTTTGGGGCAATAATTTGATGCACAATTGCCCAATCGTCTTCAGGGGAAGCTTCAGGAGGTCTCCACTTTCGCATTAATATGCCATCCTTTTTGTAGAAACAAACAGGGACCTTGTCAGCTTCATCAATAGTAAGACATCTTTTATGAAGATCAATGAGTGATGGATCATGCTCTTGTTCATAAATTAACATGTGTTTAGAATGAGGATCATTTTTCAAAGAATCACTATCAGAAATAGAGGATGAAACCTCAGAACAAGGAGGAGATGAAACCTCATGAACACTAGCAGAAGAAGATGAAACTTCATCGGGACTAGCAAGAGCGGGCGAAACCGCATCAAAATAGTGATCCTGCTCAGAAGGTGAATCACCTCTGGCAATAGGCTTTTTCAATGAAGAATTTGCCTCAATAGATGACTGCTTGGCTCGAACAGAAGGCTGTTTCAATGTAGAATTTGCCTTTAAAATAGGATAAGGACCATCTTTAACAAGTGGTGAGTGACATTCATCATCAAACAAGGAGCTTAAAAACCCACTATCAAAGTCATCTCCCACAGACGAATCCCCGCTATTAGCTAACTTTTTAGCCATAGCCCTAGTAACAGCACAAGCAGGATATATATCAGAGTCCTCTTGGACAGAATCCTCAATAGAACAAGGCTGATCAGAAACAATGGGGTCTAATGATACCTTTCCCCCAGCTAAATCATTGCCTAAAAGCAATGCGACTCCTTCAACAGGAAGTTGTGGCCTAACACCAACAATAACTGGCCCTTTGACTAACTCTGATGTGATATGAATACGATGGAGGGGAACTTTAGTAAAACCTAATTCAATGCCTTGCATCAAAATATGGGTACCTGTGAATGACTCCTCAGATAAAGGAAGAACACCTTCTAACAACAAAGTCTGAGATGCACCCGTGTCTCTAAGAATCTTAATTGGCTTTGAATTGGTACCATCACTTGACAGTGACACAGATCCTTCCGACATGAAAGGCTTATAATCCTCCATAATATCACTATGAGTTGATTTCTCAGTATGAGTATATGAATCCCAAACAATGGGCTTTCTTGAAATGGGAACAGTAGCACAACCATTTGAATGAGCAGAACCAGACATCTCTCTTCTATTCTTAATCCTATAGCATTCAGAAATAATGTGACCAGGCTTTTTACAATAATTACAGGTGACATTTGATGTTGGACCTGACGATTTTGATTGATCTGATTTTGAGCTAGAACTCTGTGATGAATTAGACTGGTCTTTTGCTTTGTTTGATGTATTTGATGATGAGGACTGATTTGATTTTGTATCATATGAAGGTTTGTTACCTTGATAACCTCTAAAGTTAGGATTACCTTTGATAAAACTACCCTTATGAGTTAGAGCATAATCATCAGACAGGGTGGCAGCTTGACTTAAAGTTTCTACCTTGTGTTCATCTAAATAAGTTCTAATGTGATATTGAACACAGTTTTTGAATTGTTCTATTAGCATAAGCTCTCTGAGCTTTTTGAACTCTTCAGATACATCTTTAGAGACAAGCCACCTGTCAAAAAGCTGCTCTTGCTCTCGAGCAAACTCAACATGGGTTTGGTCACTCTGTTTGTGGGCATTTCTAAATTTTTGTCTGTAAGCTTCTGGTACTAGTTCATAAGCTTTAAGAATTGCATTTTTAACTAGGTCATAATCAGAGCATACTTCTCCTGAGAGAGAGGCAAATATTTCACTTGCTTTTCCAATGAATACACTCTGGAGCATAACTGGCCATGCAGATTTAGGCCAGTCTAGGCTCTGAGCAACCTTTTCAAAATGTGTAAAGTATTTATCAACATTTTTCTCTTGAAATTTAGGTACAAATTTCAGAAATTTTGAAGCGTCAAACCTATTTTCAAAATGTTGATGCATAGTAGCATGTTCATCAGATTTGCTTTTAGCTTCTATTTCAAGCCGTTTTAATTCAATTTCTTTTTGAATTTCTTGTTCCTTTAATCTTATTTCTTTTTCATTTTGTAATCTAAGTTCAATCTCTCTCATTTCTCGTTCATTTTGCAATTCTTTCTCTCTCAACTCAAGTTCTTTGAGCTTAATAGGATCGGCAGGCTCAACATGCTGGGCTGGCTCCATGGAAAGCTTTAATGCTTCCTCAGGCAGAATTTCTTCTGCTACCAAATATTGCACTAAAAGGTTTTTAATTGTGCCTTTTCTGTAGGAAGTTTTAACTGCTAAGCCAACATGTTTAGCCAGTGCCAGAAGATCAGTTTTCTTTAAACTGTCAAATTCCTCCAAAGAGGGCGCTTCTAAAAATGTCTCAACCTCAAAACTCATTTTCAATTAATTGCTGTCTTCACAATTTAAATATACAAGTTTTGGATTTTGAATTTTAAAATATTTGTATTTTAGCTTGTTGTAGTTGTATCCCGGACGAGCCCCCAATTTCTGTTACGTTCGAAAATAACAGAAAGTAAAAACAGCAATTAAAATATGATTACAATATATTTATATTTTGAAAACTAAATAATATAACAATAATATAAAGGAGGTTTAATACTTAAGTGATGTCCAATCAATGATACCGCTTATTCTTGATGTCGATAAATGTCGTTGACGATCCTTTGGAATGTTCCAGATCACGAAATGTTTCAATAATCGTTAATAGTTCTCCAATGTTTGTAATAATCCAATAATGTTTGTTGTAATCCTATAATGTTCGTATCCAATAATGTTTGATGATAATCCACAAATGTTTGATGATAATCCACAAATGTTTATGATAATCCACGAATGTATATGATAATCCGTATATAGTGTGTGTTGTAATATATGTCCATATAAAGTCCTCAGGTTGTATGTTTGTAGTGTTATAAATGTTCCCACAGTACGTTGTTGTAATTTTCTGCTAAGAAGATGTCCTTTTGATAAACTTTGAAATTCTGCTACAGAGTAGATGTCCAGTTATGATGACTTAATTTATCTGCTAATGAGAGTCACTGTGCTGTTCTTTTTATAATGTGAAAGAATGATCCAGAAACGAATCTTCTAGAACTGAGACTACTTGTTGAGTTTTGATTGGACATCTCTAGTCACATGATTAAATCTTAATGAATGGTTATATTTTCTAGAACTCTCTGGATGGTCAAGGGTTAATGAATCATTCAGTTCAGTTTTGTTTACTAGATACAGTGTATAATGTCATTGTGACCTTGACCAAAGATCTCTAATAAAGAATAGCTCAACATATACAGCAAGCACAGATCACAAATCAAACTATAGGTGAATATAGTAGAATATAATATACATGTAGCTCACTACTGTAACAATGTACTTCAAACATTTGTGCGATTTATCTCGAAAGATCATTTTATTTTCAATATTTAGATTTCTTTGACAAAAATATTTGATCTCCAAGCTGATGTGGCACAAACCTTAATTTACAAAGCATTCTTAAAAATAATTCATTTGTAACATTGGGGGAATATCGTCTTATTTTAGATTAAAGTTCATTTGACTGCTTCATTTCGTCAGTAGAACGGCAAAAATAAGAAATTGGGAGACCATTGTGCAATAATATATTCAGCAATATTTAAAAATCACATTTACCTTATCTTTAGCAACATCTATATTAGGGATACTGGAACATGTCTGTTAAACATAACTTGTCATTCATTAAAAACCTGAATGGATTTTGAAATAGAATTATTGCACTGTTTAATACATCTCATGAATTTCAATTACACTCAATTGGCTCTCGTGGAATCCTTCACAAGAAATCTTCCACACCACTGCTCTTCCTATGTCTTATTCTTAGTGGTGACATCCACCCAAACCCAGGTCCTGTAAAATTTCCCTGCGGTATGTGCCACAAAGCAGTTGCCAAGAATCATCGCGCCCTTGAATGCGATGAATGCGGCACATGGGTACACATCAAATGTGGCAATGTTTCCCCTGCTGAGTACAATGTTTTTCTTGACGCGGGCAGTTTCACCTGGATCTGTCCTGGATGTGCCCTACCTAATTTTTCCAACAGCTTCTTCAATGACTCCACTCTTTCTCATTCCTCGGTAACAAACTCCTTCAGCGCTCTCTCTGATCTTGACAATTCGTCATCATCATCTGATTCTACCGAATCAGAACCACCGAGGCCGACTGCACGAAAGAGGCGAAACCAGGTTCGCCTCATGTCTATCAACTTCCGCAGTCTAATTAGTCATGAGAAGCAACTACACCTTCAACAACTAATTGAAACTCACAAGCCAGATGTCATCATAGGCTGTGAGACTCACCTGGACAACACCATCGACAGCAAATGGATATTCGGTCAAGACTACCTTAGCCCACCTCCATACAGGAAAGACCGAAAGAAAGGTGCTGGCGGTGTCCTTATCGCAGTCAAAAGTGACTTCATATCAGTCGAATATGAAGCGACAGCTGATTGCGAAATCATATGGTCCAAAGCATCTCTATCAAATGGGGACATACTGTTTGGATCCTTCTATCGTCAACCAAACAACGATACTGGTGCTTTGGACTCGCTCCAAACATCCCTCGATAAACTTTATGCTAATGGTAATACACATATGAAAAACATCTTCCTATGTGGTGACTTCAACTTACCAGACATCGATTGGGAGAATGGAACTATAAGGCCTAATTCTCAATATTCTAATGATCTTAATGAGAAGATGATTACAATAACTGATGATCATGGCCTAACCCAACTAGTCAAGGAACCAACTAGACAAAATAACATCCTTGACTTAGTATTCACTACATGCCCAAACCTCGCAGAAAGAATCTCGGTGGTCCCGGGCATGAGTGATCACGAGGCAGTCCTATGTGATATAAACCTAAAAATGAAAATTCAGAAAAAGAAGCCTCGTAAGGTCCACATATACAAGCGGGCAGAATGGACTGGACTTAAAGAGACTCTACGATCTAAGTTCAGCGAATTCAAAGAGAACTGTGAAAGTAGATCAGTTGAAGACAACTGGTCCTCCTTCAAATCTACATTAATATCGTCAATCAATGAGCATATTCCAAGTAAAACTCTAAGTGGGAAATTCAAAGTACCCTGGATTACCACCAGGATACTGAGACGATATAATGTTGCCAAACGTTCAAATGAACCTCATCATTGGCATAAATACAAATCACTACGGAAATTAATCCATAGTGAAATTCGTAAAGAACATCAGCGCTACATCAACGATCTGCTTGACATTGATGAAAGCGAAATCATAAATGAGAATGTTCAGCACAAAGGCATTACCAAACGCTTCTGGAGCTACATAAAGTCTAAACGCAAAGATGCATCAGGTATCAGTGTGCTGCGTAACAAAGATGGCGACGAAATAACAGACGCCGCCCAGAAAGCAAACATCCTCAATGACCAATACAATTCTGTATTCACAGATGAGGATGCCACTCTACCGACAATGGTACCTAGTCAAATTCCTGAAATGCCAAATATCAAAATTTCGACAAAAGGAATTCACAAATTGCTAACTGGCCTAAATCCATCAAAAGCCACTGGACCCGATCTTATTCCGACTAGGGTCCTGAAGGAATGCAGTGACAGCATATCACCATTCCTTCAAATAATTTTTCAACAGTCTATCGATGAAGGCTTAGTGCCTATGGACTGGAAACATGCCAATGTTACTGCTATCTACAAAAAGGGACGAAGAGATGAGGCTGTGAATTACAGGCCTGTATCTCTGACGTCAGTTCCATGTAAAATAATGGAACATATCATATTCCATCATGTTATGGCCCACTTTGACCTCTATGAAATTCTAGTAAAATTCCAACATGGATTCAGGTCAAAGCACTCATGTGAAACACAACTTGTCAATACAATAGAGAATATAGCTCGGGCCCTCGACAACAATAAACAAACAGACATGTTGGTATTAGACTTTTCCAAAGCGTTTGACACAGTGGCTCACGAACGCCTCTTGCTCAAACTCGACTATTATGGAATTCGCAATAATAACTTGAACTGGTTCAGATCCTGGCTTGTGGGAAGATCACAACAGGTAGTGCTCGATGGTGAATCAAGTTCAAAAACTCCAGTAAAATCAGGAGTTCCTCAAGGAACAGTTCTTGGACCACTCTGTTTCCTTGTTTATATCAATGATATGGGCAATAACCTATCATCCTCAGCCAGTCTTAAGCTTTTTGCCGACGACAGCCTTTTATTCATGACAGTCGAAAGCAAGCAAGATGCATTAACACTACAGGAGAATCTTGATAAACTGGTCTCCTGGGCATCAGCATGGCAAATGAAATTCCATCCATCAAAATGCTATGTGCTAAATATTCACAAAGGTAAATCCCCTATCATGCACAATTACACCATGCTAGGGGAAAACCTTAAGTCGGTAACACACATCCCATACCTAGGAATTGACATCACAAATAACTTACGCTGGACTACACATATTCAAACTATTGTATCCAAAGCCAATAAGGTGCTTGGATTTCTCAGGCGCAACCTCCATCAATGCCCTGAAAAAGTGAAGGCTCAGGTGTATAAGTCACTAGTCCGGCCTAATTTAGAGTATGCCAGCTCGGCATGGGATCCATACCGACAAAAAGATATTGATATGTTGGAACAGGTACAGAGAAGAGCAGCCAGGTTTGTAACCAAATGTCACTCAAGGGAACCAGGCTGCGTCACCAAAGCTCTTCAAGACCTGAAGTGGGAGCCACTGAAGGAGCGTCGAGAGGCTGCTAGAGTTTTCCTTTTCTACAAAGGAAAGCAGAACCTAGCAGCCATCGACGTGCCTCCATACTTCCGCCAACAGATCAATACCAACACTAGGTTGTATCATCCTTCTAAGTTCATACAACCATCAACTAGAACGGATGCATACAAATTTAGCTATTTCCCTAGGACAATAGCTAAATGGAACACTCTACCTGGTGACATCTTAGACTGTGACAGTCTAAGTAGTTTTAAATCATCATACTATGCCTATGTCAATAACTGCAATTAAATAGGTTTGTTTTTAATATAGATCTATGTTTTAATGTAAAGGGTCCCCTGTGCACAGCAACAAGCCTGCACTACTGGTAAAGAGGGGTGATGTCAACGCGGTAGCCTGACAGTCTCCCCAGGTAAAATGAGTTGTAAACCATAGATCTATTTTTTAAATGTTAAGGTTTTAAATTATATTCTATCCAAATTCTATCACTGTTAAATTATATATCTGCTTTATATGGGCTTATTAGCCTTTTGCAGATTATTGACATAGACATAGACATAGACACAGTGGAGTTGACAATGTACATTTCTGATTTTTTAAAATTATACCCAATACATAATATTTATCAAATCTTCAACCATCCTAAATTGTGTAGTTTAGAGAAACATATTTTCATAGAAAAAATCGACACTCTTAGGCGACAGTGGAAAAAATAATCAAAGGAAATGTGAAAAAACAACATTTTCCAACAATTTTTGAAAAAAATTTTCATACACAATTTTTGAAAAAAATCGAGCACTGCTCAGAAATCTTTTAACATAATCAAAAAGCTACAAGTCTTTCCAAGCTAATACATACAAAATCAAGCATGAAATCCTTTTTGTTTTTATCAGATTAATTTTTTAAAACCTACATCAAACCTACATCATAGATTTCGCTTCATATCAGTTAATAGTGACACTGTACATCTAAACTGTATGGCGGTATGTTTTGTCACTGTACATTGTCAATGGTTAGGCGTGTCTATAATTGCTTCAGAAATTGTTTTGAATATTAATATGCTCAGAATATTATTTTTCAGATTAAACACGAATAAGTCACCATGGTACATGATATAGAATACAGTTTCCTTCTGTTATATGGGATCTTCCTTACTGCCCAGGCCAACTATGACCCATTCATGGACAATGTTGTTTTCAAACTTGACTGGCCTGGTAGCACCTTAGATGATGTCAGCCCAAGCTTAGTAAGTAAATTAAGCTACATGGCTGAACCATTGTGCTTTGCTCTTTTGTATGAAATTTTTGTATTTGTGTTACACGAACAGACATCATCATATTGTATTTTTAGTACATGATAAAGCATAATCTAACCAATTGTGTTGCGTTATTGCAGGAAGATGCTGACGGAAACAGTGTAGTTGTCACCACTGCAGATCAAGAGAAGTACAAGTGCATCTTGCCAGACACAATGGATGACTCTAATGATGTTAGTAAGAATAGAGAGAAAGATTATTGTCAGAACATTCCTTTCAATCTATTCATTTAAATATTCTGGTATATTTAATATCCGAATCTGCATTTTCAGAATTCAAAGTGAAGCCCATATGTTATATTTTAAAAATACATGTAGTGCCTTTTTTTCAGTTTCTGAAGTAATTCAAATTCTTAAAAATAAGAGAGTATTGGGCAGATAAGGAAAATGGCCTTTGCTCAGTGGTTGAACCACAATGTAACTCAATGGTATATGCAAGATGAAAATACCTTATTTGCAGAATAACCAGGATGCCTATAGTGGTCCTACAGAACTAGAGCTACTGGCTCCATTATTCAAGCAATCTGCCTGTTCATACCGGGTAAGTAGTTTGAGTATGAAACATACTGCCTTCTTCTTGATACTCACTACTCTGTTGGTTTACTGGGAATTAAGAAGACTTCATTTCTAATAGTGTTTTCTGAATTAATTTTTAATTTTTTTGCTATCCTGTCTGAATATACAAATTTTCATGATTTTCAAGTGGGTGCAAGTAGGTTATCAGATGGTTGTTCATCGTCAATTATCAAAATCTTTGGAGAGTGCAACACCCACTTACTTCTTGGGATATCACTGATGTATCTTAATCGAAAACATCTTACAGTGAATAATAGACCAATAATTATTATATACTAAAGTGCATATTACTTTTATACACAGGTACATCATGTATGGTAAATTGTAGTAGATATCCTGCATTTTTATACTTGGTTGAATAATATGTGACTGTTACAGATTGAAAGTTACTGGACATATGAGCTGTGCCATGGAAAACACCTAAGGCAGTATAATGAAGAAAAGTTACCAGGCAAAGATAACATCAAAATACAAGAATATTTCCTGGGTCGTTATGTCCCCCCAAAACAAACTGAAGGTGGAGAAGAAGAAACTACCACTGAGAAAAGACATGCAAAGGTATGTTGCTTGAATTTGTGAAGATGTTCCAACTATGCTTAAAAGAAATATGTGAATGTATGTTGCTTGAATTTGTGAAGATGTTCCAACTATGCTTAAAAGAAATATGTGAATGTATGTCGCTTGAATTTGTGAAGATGTTCCAACTATGCTTAAAAGAAATATATGAATGTATGTTGCTTGAATTTGTGAAGATGTTCCAACTATGCTTAAAAGAAATATATGAATGTATGTTGCTTGAATTTGTGAAGATGTTCCAACTAAGCTTAAAAGAAATATGTGAATGCATGTTGCTTGAATTTGTGAAGATGTTCCAACTATACTTAAAAGAAATATGTGAATGTATGTTGCTTGAATTTGTGAAGATGTTCCAACTAAGCTTAAAAGAAATATGTGAATGTATGTTGCTTGAATTTGTGAAGATGTTCCAACTATGCTAATAAGAAATATGTGAATGTATGTTGCTTGAATTTGTGAAGATGTTCCAACTATGCTAATAAGAAATATGTGAATGTATGTTGCTTGAATTTGTGAAGATGTTCCAAATATGCTTAAAAGAAATATGTGAATGTATGTTGCTTGAATGTGAATATGATACAGATACAGGGGCGTCAGAAGGATTTGCCAAGAGGGGGGGGCGTCTTTTGGGTATGGATGAGTCGTGCATGAAGCACGCCACACACAAAGCGTGTAGGGCAATCTAGGGGGATCTGGGGGTGGGGTCATGCCCAGAAAATTTTCAAATTTAGAGTCTCTCTGGTGCATTCTGAACATATCTCAGCACAACATTCTTGATAATAAAAACAAGAAAAAATGTAAAAAAAATATATTGTTTGCGTGTGTTAAGATGTTTCAAGGATGCGTGAAAGAAATGTGTGGATATATTGTTTACGTGTGTGAAGATGTTTCAAGGATGCGTGAAAGAAATGTGTGAATATATTGTTTGCATGAGTTAAGATGTTTCAAGGATGCGTGAAAGAAATGTGTGAATATATTGTTTGCGTGTGTGAAGATGTTTCAAGGATGCGTGAAAGAAATGTGTGAATATATTGTTTGCATGTGTGAAGATGTTTCAAGGATGCGTGAAAGAAATGTGTTAATATATTGTTTGCGTGTGTGAATATGTTTCAAGGATGTGTGAAAGAAATGTGTGAATAGTACCCCGGACAGGTTGTATGATGCAGTCGTTTTTTTACTCTATATTTGCAGCAGAACAACCATTCTTATTGAAATTTTCATATTTTATTCTGGAGACAATTTCCAACATTGAAAATAAATATTTTGTCAAAATTTCCAATTTTATGATTTTGACGGGCTTTTTTCAAAAACACTACACTGTCAATAAAATACAGGTTTTTGCTTAAACAATTGAACTTTTGACGTCATTTCAAAGATTGTCTAGCTATTGGATTTTTGACAGCCTAAAGTCTTTCCAGATGTATTTGATGCCATATTAATTATGGCTGATTATTGTTATTCATTTTAGTCATATTCAATAGGCCTAATATTATTACAGTACATTAGGCCAATGAAAAACTTGTCATTCTGGGTCATGTTTTCTCTGAAAACGCACCTTTTCCTCCACTGGATTTTTTCCGCCACCGTCACTCAGCATGCAAGCCTGTGACACGTAAATTGTACCATGCTTTTAAAATGTCAGGTCTCCCTGACAATTTCATGATAAAAGACACAGCTGTATTAACATCTCTGAAGGATCTAATGCCAAGAATACTTCAAATAGGAGATTCGTAATGTTTTACTTTATTTTGGACAGTATTGAACAGTAACCGGGTTGAACTCATGTCTGTGGACAAGCAGATTGACCTCCTCTATCTGGGCTCAATCTAGGGAACGCTTCACAAAACGAGGCCCAGAGCAACAATTTTTTATTGGCCTAATGCACTGTAATAATATTGAATATGACTCAAGTGAATAACAATAATCAGCCATTATTATGAATATGGCAACAGATATATCTGGAAAGACTTTAGGCGGCCGGAAATTCCATAGCCAGACAATATTCGCAATGACGTTAAAAGTTCAATTGTTCAAGCAAAAACCTGTATTTTACTGACAGTGTAGAGTTTTTGAAAAAAGCCCGTCAAAATCATAAAATTGGAAATTTTGATAAAATATTTATTTTCCATGTTGGAAATTGTCTCTAGAATAAATCTTGAAAATTTCAATAAAAATGGTTGTTCAATTGCAAATATAGAGTAAAAAAACGACTGCATCATACAACCTGTCCGGGGTACTATATTGTTTGCGTGTGTGAAGATCTTTCAAGGATGCTTGAAAGAAATGTGTGAATATATTGTTTGCTTGTGTGAAGATGTTTCAAGGATGCGTGAAAGAAATGTGTGAATATATTGTTTGCATGTGTGAAGATGTTTTAAGGATGTGTGAAAGAAATGTGTGAATATATTGTTTGCGTGTGTGAAGATGTTTTAAGGATGTGTGAAAGAAATGTGTGAATATATTGTTTGCGTGTGTGAAGATGTTTTAAGGATGTGTGAAAGAAATGTGTGAATATATCGTTTGCGTGTGTGAAGATGTTTTAAGGATGTGTGAAAGAAATGTGTGAATATATCGTTTGCGTGTGTGAAGATGTTTTAAGGATGTGTGAAAGAAATGTGTGAATATATCGTTTGCGTGTGTGAAGATGTTTTAAGGATGTGTGAAAGAAATGTGTGAATATATTGTTTGCGTGTGTGACGATGTTCTAAGGATGCGTGGAAGAAATGAATAAAGGTATGTTACAGGAATATGTTTTACAAAACAATTGATTGGTAGCAGTTACATGTAGTGAGGATTTCCAATGGGTTAGAATAATTATTATGTTGCCACCAAAAAGTGGTGACATGTTGTTATGGTTTCCAAATCCATCTACAAGTTCTCAGAAATTCAAATCTGACTTTAGATTTCAGATTTGGGCAACTAGGTGGTGACATTTTGTCATGGTAATGCCCTGTCATGACTTTATTCCTCTCCAAAATGAACCATATTATATATAATGACAATACTACTCCCACACTGGAATAGCCTGACAACGATAAAGTCAGATACCATTGTCACAAATAGCGGACATAACCTTCGCTTCAACTGTTTTATCACTTGGTCCTCATTTTATGGGATTTTATCGTCACTAATTTTGTCCATGTATTTAACTCTTGTGAGGATGTTTCATATGAAATCTTAATTTCAATCAAATTGGGTAGTGAATTGCCACAATATGGCGTTTTCGAATGACAACGGAATCTGAATTTGAGTAATTTAGAAAGACAACGGCATATGGTAATTACAGTGTCCGTTGTCCCGTATCTCATTTTGATTGGTTAAATTAAAGACATATTTCGATGGTAGAACATTATTAACTGTACAATGAGTATAAAGACAGTTTGATTGATTGTTGTTCCAAAGAAATCTAGTCTAGGTGCTCTATTAAACATACAGTTCATGAAAATCTAATTGAAGCGACAGTTATGCCCGCCATTTGTGACAACGGTATCTGACTTTACCGTTGTCAGGCTATTCCACGGTGTCACCTTAGATGTTATTGATTTTTACTTGTCATCTGTATTAAAACATTCTTTTTATTTAGCCGCCCATTATGAAGCTTGAGGGCAACGATTATGCATACTTTGATGTTAAGATGTCAGGGGGTACCCCATGTGATCTAACACAGGAGCCCCGTCGTACAACACTGCACTATGTGTGTCATACAGAGGGGAAGGGAGAGATATATGAGCTGAAGGAAAGCTCAACCTGTAACTATGATGTCATTGTGTTGTCAAAGCAACTATGCAAACACCCTGACTACAAGTAAGAATACATTTTTAGAAACTACTCAAAATAAAAAATAAAAATTATTTCTGTCTAAGTAAATAAATGATTTTGTAATAAGGGTAACATGTGAAGTTCAGGAGCCAGCCAATCAAGAATTTTTCCAATGTTAGCATATTACGCATTATACATTATGTCTGTTTTTAGTTTGGAAGTTCATTATCTGTTGATTTATTCCAGACCAAAGATCCAACCTGTAAATGCCATCAAGTGCCATCCCCTTGGTAACTCCCCTGTGAGACCTAGTGCAATGGAGGACCCCATCACACAGTTTCTACGCAATGATGGATCAACTGGACCTCAGGGGGTAATAATCTTGTTGTTAATGTATCATTACCTGCCTTCTTCAGCCATTCCTGTTTTATTTAAGTAATAGTGCTTTGCAGAACTAAAAAGGTTGCCACAACATTAAAACAACTTAACAATCAAAAATTGGAAAATCTTGAAAATTTGTAAAATTCAGATCCTGAGTAAATGGTAAAACACTTGAGATTTGCAGGAACAACTTTTGATCTGTAAACTTGCAATCTGTGCTGCCTTTCCTCCTTCATTTTATATTTATTTAACCTCACAACCTTATGTGGGTAGATGTTTGCATGTTGGAGGAGAAGTACACAAGGGCCTCAAGTGAGACTACACATTGAATAAATTGTGAAATTATTTTTGTTGTTTTTTGTGAAATTGTATTTCATATGGACTTGGTGCTTTTTCAGACAATTAAAATCAGTGTAAATGGTGAAGAGATTGAGACTGGATATGAGATACAGATTGAGCCTCCAGTTGAGGACAAAGATACTTATCATAAAGTTGAAAGCAAGCCACTTATACAAGATACCCAGCTGATTAAAGATTTCATGGCTGGAGACTACTGTTTAGTTGGGGTAAGATAAATGTTTATCCATTCAATTAATTTGACCACCCCCTGTATATTGTCAAAGTAATTTCACCAATGTCTGAAAGTTTTTGCATTCAGTGTGCACAGATGTATTGCCTGTATTAACCCCTTGAATCCCAGGCTCTAAATTCGGTTGAAACGAGAGAATTTTTCATTTTTGCCACCTTTTGACATTTTACTATACCAATACAACTTTAGATGCTCAAATTAGTAAGATTAGATGGCAGAGATCATTTCTTCACATTTTAAAACAATTTTAGTGTAAATTGGATGAAAATTGTTCAAATAAGAGGAATCTTAGTGAAATACTTTGTGACAGATTTTCTTGTCATTCTGGGTTTCAAGGTCATTTTTGAGGTTGAGAAATCTTGTCACTCCAGGTAGTCAAGAGGTCAAAGGATGGGAAGAAATGCAGTTCAGTTTCAGCTGGAATAGCATATTTGATTTTTCTACAGAAATGATTGCTCCTGGTTAACACCAGACTTCCTAATGATAACATACAATTAACTGTGTATATATTTATGAAAATTCTTAAAACATCTTGTATGTTTCATTCTAGGGGGCTGGGTGGTGGAAACATGAGTTCTGCTACGGCAAGTCTGCTAGTCAGTTCCATGAGGTGAGTGACATGAGATTTTTTATTGTTTACTTTGCATTTTAATATATATTTCAATCATGTAAACAATAGTTAGGAAAATTTGGCAGTCGTAGCTACTGTAACATTCATATTTTTTCTTTCTGTGTATAGGCCGAGGGTTTAATAGTACAGTATCTTGTATCTTTAATCTATTTTTGCCTTAATTGTCTTGAATTCGATGTTCAGTGTAAGTTTTAGCAATAAAGTACCTTGACATATGATGTATATGCTTAAAGCATATTATATGAGGATTGTTTCCTGTATTTACAGGAAAGAGGTCAAACAAAGACTGTTATATTACTGGGAAAGTGGAATGAATATGAACATTTAAAATGGCTCAAAAATAATCCAAATAAAAGACCTAAAGAAAAAAGCTCAAGAAAGTAAGTAGCTATCTTTAGGTTAGTTGTTGATTGGTTGTAGCATGGCCTCTGGAGTAAATCTAATGAGAAACCATATTTAATATCATTATTCTTTTTATTTGATTTTTATTTCTTCACCTTGATTTAATTTTTTTCATCATATGTTTTCACAATATTGTGATTCATTTTTACCATACTTTTTTAAAGTGCTATATTGTTATCATATTATAAATCTCGCTTTATCTTTCAAAGTATTTAAAGCCAAAAATGGCCATTTTCTTAACCTCTTGACTACCCAGAATGACGTCGTCACCTCAGAAATGACCTTGAAACCCAGAGGGACTAGAAAATCCGTCACAAAATTGTTCACAAAAATTGCTCTTATTTGAACAATTTTCATCCAATTTACGCAAAGATTATTTTAAAACGTGTAGAAATGATCTCTGCCATCTAATTTTACTAAGTTGAGCATCTAAAGTTGTAAAGGTATGTAGTAAAATGTCAAAAGGTGGCAAAAATGAAAAATTCTCTGGTTTCAACCAATTTTAGAGCCTGGGATTCAAGAGGTTAATGTATTAATCTGTAACTTTTTGTTTTGTTAAATTTCACTACAATTTAATGCTATTTAATTTCACTAGGCTGTAATCCAGAGTATATCCATGTAATAAATATAATATTCTTATTTCAGATATATATCTCAGTTTTATAGTGATGGTAGCATATGTGATTTAACTGGAAAACCAAGACATGTAGAAGTCAAGTTAAAGTAAGTAAAAAGATTTTTATGTCACCACCACAAGTGGTGAAGTATTGTTATGGTCTTTTTTGTGGACAGTGTTCTGCAGTTGGTGTTAGATGTCTGTAACAGATGACAAGTGGTGACATTTTGCATATTAATGTCTTGTTTATTAATTGATTAAAGTAACATTGTCACATCATCTTTTGTTCTACAGGCACCATTTGAATTGATTTAAATATTTTATAGCCTTGTTCAAGTATTATCCATATATTACTAAGTGCAGTAAACTATAATAGGTTGAAACTTTTGATCATGCTTTTTGTTCATTTTTTCAAAATGTTTGGGATTTTTTCCATTCATTATAAACTCAAAACATTAAATAAATAAATCATTGTTTCCAGATGTCTAAATAACCCCACCAACCCAAATGCTGTCACTATATATCTGGTAGAGCCTAAGACTTGTGAATACATGCTAGTGGTAAGTAATACAACAGTTCAACGTCTTCCTGTTTCGACTTTCCATACCCCTATGGCGGATCCGGGGGGGGGCATGCCCCCCCCCCTAAGGTTGGCCCAGAAAAAAAAAGTTGGGCCCAAAAAATTTTAGGCCAAAAAAGGCCTTAAGGCCCCAAAAGTTCAAAAGGCCCCAATTTTCAAAATTTGGGCCCAATTTTCGGTTTTAGGGGCCCAGGAGCTTTTCTCTCTGCCCTCAGATTTGGGCCCCCCTCTGTTGGTTCCTGGATCCGCCACTGTACCCCATCAAATGTTAGGTTAATCAAATCACACCACCTTCGCAACTACATGTACTTGTGTACATTGAAATCTCAGGACTATTGAAAATAAGATTTATAGTGGTTATATATGTTATTTAGATAAAATTCAGAATTAATAGCAGTGCTTTGAGAATAATGAATATTCTTTCCTTTATTTTTACAGTCAAAATTAGGTGAACACAAAATTAACTCGACAAAATAATGGCGGGACAGAATTTTTTTTGGCCAGAGTGTTTTTAATGTCTCTGGACAAATTTGGCTACAGCGAAAAAATCCTTATTTGCCAGACTGCAACTATACCTTATATGGTGGTAAATGGAACGGTAACTGGTCAACTCGTACCCAAGACAACTCGTACCCAAGTCAAGTCGTACCCAAGACAACTCGTACCCAAGACAACTCGTACCCAAGTATATCTTTTGTTTTGAATCAAGTGTTGGGCTGGGAATGGGTATAGATATACATATTATAACGGTTACATACAGTTCAGAATAGTTTGAAGCATGTAGAAGAGTTTTTGGAAGAAATCGATTTTGTGACCAAATATATTGGTCACAGATTCAGATGTTCGAGGGAAGAAATTTATGTTTATTCCACATATTCATAATCATTGTTCACAATATTAGTGGTATTTTTGTATGTTAATGAGTGTTTGGAACAAGTATCAGATCTAATCTTGAAATATGGTATTATCAAAAATATAAAGATTTTCAAAACTTGCGCCTATTTCTTATTAAACAGATAATCTATTTAGGATTTCATATTATCAGATTAAAGAATGATAATTCTAAGAAGTCACCTTCATAAAATTAAGCAATAAAAAATATTCTAAATAATATGAATATCAAATATTATTTTGATACTTATTCATACATGATATAATACACTTTGCATGCATGTGTTCAAATATAATCCAATTAAGTTCAAAATGGAAAAGAAATTAACAGATTAAAGTTCCCTTATTAAAGGAATATTCCTTGCCAGACCCTTTCTCTCTTGATATGGTAGCTATAATCATATATATAGTTTCCATATTTAGCAAAAGATTGGAAAATGTTTTAATATGGTCAATATTGATCATTTAAAAATCTAGTGCTTATTTCCAGTGAGCTGCCATCTTTTAAGATTTCTTGCAGGAAGTGATGTCATCAACTCTCAACTTCTATAACCTTGCCCATAACAGTATAGGAAAGTAGCACAAAATCACTTTTAGACAAGGGATCATTACTTTCTGTGCAAAAATATTTCCAGGGCTTGTCAACTTAGAATAAAAGAAGAGATTTTCAGAAGGATTAAATAAGATACAAAGTTGAAAAAGAATATTTAGCTGGTTTTGTAATTCTTAATAGCTCCTTACCTAATGCTATATGCAAAGTTGAGAGTTGATGACATCACTTCCTGTGTGAAATTTTAAAAGATGGCAGCTTACTGGAATTGAGCATCACATTTCTAAGTGATCAAATTTGACCATATCAAAACATTTTTGCGTGTTTTGCTAAATATGGCAAGCATATATATGGTTATAGCTACCATATGAGGAGAGAGATGGTTTGGCAAGGAATATTCCTTTAATTTTCTCTGAATGCATAAGCTAAATTAATTGTTTGATTCATTTGTTGAAAAGTTACTGTTTTAATTATATTCATTTATATATATGTATTACAAAAAAAGTTGAGAACAAGCCCTTCAAAGCACTTCAAAGGTAATCCAAGTTAAAACAAAATGCTTTGCTTAATCCATTAAGAAAAAATGTCTTCTAAATTCAGAAAAAATATTGAGGCACATTTTAACATTAAACATTTTGACACAGACTCAATTTGTTTTCTTATATGCACCCATAATACAGAAAATAAACGTGGGTACGAGTTGTCTTGGGTACAAGTTGTCTTGGGTACGAGTTGACTAGGAAGCAATGGAACAATAGTTGCAGTACCTTTAAATATAGAGTGTTCATTTATCAAATGGATACAATGGGTTTATCATTGTTATAATTTGGTATTATCACCCAAAAATTCAAATCATATTCCTTATTTACTGAGTTTGTGTTTTAAAATGTTATGTTCAATTCTTAAATGCATATATGTGTAGAATTAGATACATAATACATCCATTGATTACTATTGCAGGTTGAATCTCCAATACTATGTTCTATAATTGAGCAAGCAAACGATGATGGTATGCTCCCTACAGACTATAACAAAGTACAGCCTTAGATTAGACCACCTCGAGAAATAGCAAGGATCTGGTATTGGATGAGGCAAATATTAATAGGACAACTTATAGGTTAAAGGAGGTTTATTGCACCTTTTGGACTTCATTTCCACAATTTTAGTTGAAAATGTACTTTTTGAAAAGTTTTGGTGAGGGAGTGTCTTCCTCATGCCTGGCTACACCCATGCACCAGCATAATTTATATATGTTGGTAGCAAGCTGATATCACCATGTTAATTTATTAATATGGTAGCAAGCTGATATCACTAGGGGTCAAACGGTTAACCGCGGTACGCGGTTACCGCGGTATATGATGCTAGGACGGTATTTTCGGTTCATAAATATGAGATTCGGTTCATCCACGGTTCGATGAAAAATTGAAAAATGAAATTTTTAGATTTCAGTATTCTCTCTTTCATTCGACATGAACGTATTCTTCATGTATATATTCCTTAAAACATAGCAATAGAAAACATTCAATTCTTACCCATATATGAAATAGATCGCTCACAAATCAGTAGACAAGTAATTGTTTACATTTTTGTGACATACAAATAGACCGGAAGTTGGTCTCGCCAGATTACGCTATTCATAGTACAATTAATTTTGCTTCGTGGAGGTGTTTTGTCTGTTATAATGAGTTAGTTTTTAATCAATATTATTTAAAAAATACTACAATTACAGAAATTATAACATTACTAATGTCTTTGTTAAAAACTTGAAACATATTTGTGTCTAAATCCCCCGCACAATCGCAGCGCCATCTGTGCTGATTCAGCATGGCTGCTTTGACAGACTAGGTTGAAATACAAAAGCAATGTTTGGAATTTTTGAGGTTTTCCTATTGTAAATGGGAAATCAGAGGACAATGTATCAATACACATAATCTGTAGGGAGGTCATGAAGTATCTTCACGGTGAGAAAAATATTTTCTAAGCCTAGGCTAAATTTTTTCCTCAAGTTACTGCTCTTATCTAACAGAAATCTTATCAAGGACAAACAAAAATTTAAAGTTTAAAATTTAAGTGGGCCACTAGGCCAATAAACTTTGCTTTAATTTGTCAAGTCAATTTAAAAAAGCATAGTGGGACCAGGATAGAAAGTGACCGTTGGGCAAGGCTAGATAGAAAGCTAAAACCTGTTTCTTTATGAGCTGTCTTAACGAGACCCGCGAGAACCGTGAACAGAACCGAACCATGGACCTAAAAACCGTGACCGAACCGAACCGTTGGAATTTTGAACCGTTTGACCCCTAGATATCACCATGTTAGTTATTAATATGGTAGCAAACTGATATCACCATGTTATTAATTTTTTATTAATATGGTAGCAAGCTGATATCACCATGTTAATTTATTTATTAATATGGTAGCAAGCTGATATCACCATGTTAATTTATTATCCCAATGAACGAAGTTCGGTAGGGATATAGTGAAGCCCTCCGTCCGTCCGTCTGTCCGTCAGTCCGTCAGTCAGTCCGTCCGTCTGTCCGGAAGATAACTCAAATACTAGTAGACAGATTTTCTTCATATTTAGTGGAAAGATGTATATTGGTAAATAGTTTTACGCAAATAAAAATTTTTTTCAAAATGGCCGCCGCTTTAAAAATGACGGGACTTTTTCGCAAAAATCATAAAGTTTTCATTCTAAACCAAAGTAATTAATATTATTGTTTGAAAATTTGGTAGTATATTCACAACATTTATCTATTTCACATATATTCCGTGTTTTTCATCCTGACCCCCAGGGGCGGTGTATGGGGGGACAGGAAAACAGAAATTTTCGCTAATTTTTAGATCTTTCTGAAGTATAGCTTTATTATACTCAAATGAAAGGCAATTAAGAGTAGATTGCAAATAGTGTATCTTTTTTCTGATTCGAGCCTCGTTAAATTCAAAATGGCTGTTTAATGTACGATTTCGCAATAATTTTTCGATCCCTTCAAAGTATGGCTATATTATACTCAAATTGAAGGAATTTTGGAGTAGATCACAATTATGGTATTATTTTTCAGATTTGTACCTCAGAAAATTCAAAATGGCTGCTTTGCAGGAATTCGCAATTCTAAAATCTAATTTTTTCAATTTTAACCAAAGTAATGAGTATAATTGATTGGAATTCGGTAATTGATATTTTGTTCGTTGGGATTTGCTACTCCGCGGAGTTGCCCTTATCTAGTTAATATGGTAGCAAGTTGATATCACAATGTTAATTTATTAATAATATCACAACCTTAATTTTGGTGAAACACATAAAGGGTATTGCCCTTACCCTTTCAACATGTTCAAATTAATTGATTGATTAGCAGTGCTAGCAAGCCTTTTGAAAAGCCTGTTCTTCTCAGCCTTTTTCGGCATACATTTAAAAGATTTTCTTTGCATTTATAAGCAAAGTATAAAGACCTTGCTGAACAGACAGTTACAGTAATCTTTGGATGCCTTGTATCTGGAATATACATTTTTGTTTTAGTTTTATGGTTCCTGTATTGAAACTATATGTAATTGTTATATAATACATTGACAGAGCTGAAGCCCTGTAATTATTGGCCCTCAAGGAATATTAAATGTAGTACCGGAAGAATAATTCACAAGTGATTCATGATTTTTAGTACAGTCGTACAAGGTAAATTCATTTTGCAAAGTTGAATGCGAGACTTGCGAGTTGATACTTTCATAGAATATTATTGATTGAGTGAGTCGTTAATCAAAGTACAATATATTTCACTACAAGATCATTATTATTCACAAATGTGTGAATTGTGAAACAATAATTATGAATTTCGTAAAATCTTAAATGAATTTTTTTCAAACTTTCTGTACTTATTTGATAATAAATTGACATGTAGCATGTACAAATACTGCCTAGATGGTATAACACTGAGGGCAGGATGATGGCCAGTGGTCAGTGAACTGTTAAACTGATTTAAATGTCCATCCGTTGGGATATTATTATATGTTAATAACATATTCTTCTTACACTACATAAAAACTTACTTTTTGGGTAACAGTTACTCGAGAATATTGTGGTATAATATAATTGTTGTGGAATGGGTATTTTTTAATTCAAAATTATATATTTTTTTGGTGTACATTTTATTTGTCAATCGAGTCAAGGAGTAAACATAAGATGGCGAATATACTTGCAGAAATATTTCATTCTGTGGAATAAATATGCATTTTTAACAATGTAATGTCTAATTTGTGCACAATATAAAAATGATTTCTTCCTATAATTAGTAAAGCATAAAATGGAACTCACACACACGTGACCTGTGTTTAACCAATCATAGAATGAGTAAAATGACAGTGAAATATAGTCTTTTCACTTTTTATTGAATAGAGCACACACTACGATTAGTGGAGATAGACGTCGTGTTAATACTATAGATTACTAACAGTAATTTCAGATATTCACTTTGGTTCAGCATGTTGTCATGAATATTGTATATAATCAAATTTGAGAAACAGAATAATCTAGGTGTATAAAATCAAAATACAGTACAGTACAGTAAAACCTGTATAGTTGCACACCTCTACAGTGCAACAATTTCAGGTTTTACTGTATGTAAATTATAGATCACTATGTCATGTTATAGAACTGGAAGTGCAATTGTAAAATTACAGGAAATAAAAATGTGTAAAAAACAAATGAATGTGATGTGACAATGCTTCATTTATTTTTAGAATTGAAATACCCTTGGACAAAGGATGCTGTTTACAGGTGTGAAAGAAATGATGGTCCCCAGGGATTATGGTCCCCTTTCTTAACGGCCCTTACTGGCCCTGATTGTGTATAAGATAATTAGGGAAAGAGTTGTATTTAGGTCACCATATAAATCAATGGACAGTAGGACCATGATTTGAGAGGACTTCCTACCCTTTTACACCTGGACTAATTAGTCTAGATGAAAATAAAGGATTTATCACTGAACCTTGTTTTGGAGTATATACAATGTTTTATTGCATTTTTGATAGTTAGACATGTCCTGGTCAAAAAGCTACAAATATGCAGTTGTGGTAGGTTGAGCGTTTTTTCTATTGTCTTTTTATCGTACCTAACAAAAGGTACGATATTGTAGTCAGCTTGACGGGCAGCGGGCGGGCGGCGTCTCACTTTTCAGCTTGTCTACGGGTTTCCAGCCAAACCATTTGAGGGATTCATCTGAAATTTTCAGGGATGTTTCTACATATCAACGTCAAGAACTGATTAGTTTTTGGGCATTCTGGGTAAATCTTAAGGTGGCCATTTTGGATTTTCCGTCCTAAAATCTTCACTTTCAAGACTTGTCTACAGGTTTCCAGCCAAACCATTTGAGGGATTCATCTGAAATATTCAGGGATGTTTCTACATATCAACGTCAAGAACTGATTAGTTTTTGGGCATTCTGGGTAAATCTTAAGGTGGCCATTTTGGATTTTCCGTCCTAAAATCTTCACTTTCAAGACTTGTCTACAGGTTTCCAGCCAAACCATTTGAGGGATTCATCTGAGATTTTCAGGGATGTTTCTACATATCAACGTCAAGAACTGATTAGTTTTTGGGCATTCTGGGTAAACTTTAAGGTGGCCATTTTTGATTTTCCGTCCTTAAAGGAACATTCCTTGCCAGACTATTTCTCACCTGATATGGTAGCTACAATCATATATATACTTTACATATTTAGCAAAACACGGGAAAATTTTTTCATATGGTCAATATTGATCATTTAAAAATGTAGTACTCATTCCCAGTAAGCTGCCATCTTTTCAGATTTCTTTCAGGAAGTGATGTCATCGACTCTCACCTGTTATAACCTTGTCTATTACAGTATAGGAAAGAAGTACAAAATCACTTCTAAACAAGAAACCCTTATCTTCTGTGTAAAAATATTTTCAGGAGTTGTCAACTTAGAACTAAAGAAGAAATCATCAAAATGATTTTAATCATAGACCAAATTGAAAAAAATATTCAGCTGGTTTAGTAATTCTAATAGCTCCTTACCTAATGTTATATGCAAAGTTGAGAGTCGATGACATCAGTTCCTGAGTGAAATTTTAAAAGATGGCAGCCTACTGGAATTGAGCACTACATATTTAAG